TGTCCCTTTCCTTTTCGTCTCAAATGCTCGAACCCCTTTCATTTCGTTTGCTCAAATGCCCTAATCCCTGTCGGACGGTTTGGTCCTGCTTCACGAATGCTGAAATGGCTTTCGAGTGCTTGGCTTCTGGTTATCCTTTCGGGTAGTCCCTCTCGAACGGTTTGCTCATGTTCTACTTTTTTTCGAGCGGCTTGCCCCTCCTGTCTTTTGTCAATCGTGCGGGTACCCTCAATAAGCGCCTTGTTTCGTTTCTCAGAGGTCCACTTCGTGTGGGAATGCTCCCTAAATGCTGAAGTCCTTCTCGAACGGTTTGCTCTAGTTCCTTTCGAGCGTCTGGCTCCTATCTCTCAAAGACCCCAGTCTCCTTCGAGCGGTTCGCCACGTTTTTTCCTCACATGCTCTAGTCGCTTTCGTGCGTTTTGCTTTTTATTGTTGAAGCGCTCTGGTCCAAACATTCACTGGCCCCCTTTTTTCACCTTTTTTCTCAAATGCTTTGATCCTTTTCGAGCTGCATGCTCTGGTTCCTTTCGAAGGGTTTGCTCCTGTTGCTCGAATGCTCTACTCCCTTTCGAGAACGGTTTGCCACTTTTGCTCAAACGCTCTAATAATCTCTTTTGGGCGGTTTGCCCTTTTGCTCAAAGATGTTAATCGCTGCCGCACGGTTTGATATCCCTTCTCAAACAAACAAGCCGGTCCTTTTCGAGCGGTTTGCTTCTGGTTCTCCTTTCGGGCCGTTTGCTTCGTTTTGTCAATTGTTCTACCGACCCTTCGCGGAGTGATGCTGCTCAAGTCCCTTTCAAAAGGCTTGCTTCTTGCTCCAGTCCGTTTCGAGCTGTTTTGCCCTTTTTCTCAAATGCTCTGGCGCTCCTGTCTTCTGTAAAACAATCTAGCCCTTTCAAGAGGTTTGCCCCAGATCTCAAATGTGCTTTAGTCCGAATCGAATGGTCTGCTCCTTTGCTCAAATGCTTTGGTGCTCCAGTCCTGTTCGAGTGCATTCATGCTTTCTTCATAAGCTTTAGACCCTTCTGGAACGGTTCGCTGTAGTTCCTGTGGAGGGGAACTCCCAAAACCAGCCCCATCCTTAAACACACGCTTTAGTCTTGTAGTCGATAACACGATCCTGAACCAGTCCTTACCAGCCCTCAACCTGCCTCGAGGTTCGACATCCGGGTCTTACGCACTTGCTCCAGCGCATCTGCAAGGCAAGAAGCCAGGTGGAGATTGCTATCAAGTAGTGTTTCTTGTAGTGATGCCGACATTATCTCGCTAGATGCATACCGCAGCGAGAATCTTGATAAACACACTCCACTTCCTAACAACCTTGAGTTCCCGCGCCAGTTCTAGGTTATGGTTCCATCCAGGTCCCCGTGTGAATGAGAGCTTGAGACGAACCTTGCATTGGCCAGCTGACTTGCCGTAAAGCTATAGTATAGGGGATCGGGGGATGATTGGTCGGAACCGGTTACACACTAACCAAGCCAGACATAGCCAGACCACGTTCGGCCGAGGCGGGTTCACAAAGTGGCTGAGTGAAGCTTCATGTCTGACCGCATGCGAAAATTCTGTTTGAGGGAACCCCGCATTGACGTGCTGCGAAGTCACGGGGCAGGTGCAAAAAAGTCTTGTTTACGGGGATAATGCCAGAGAGCTTTCAAGTTGTTTTCGGGCGTCGTGCAAGTCATGAGTTCCGTGCCATGCACAGCAGCCGATTCTCTCTCGAACCTGCATTGAAAAAGCAAAACAGCAATGTCACGATAGTTTTGAGCACGGTATCAACAACAAGCATATAGTGAAACTAGTGTTACCAACAAGAATAACGAGCGTAAAAAGCAACAACAATGATATCCTTGTAATGTTAATCAATTACCATAATCGTCGTCAGCACCATCATCCTCACATCACCATCACCACCACCGCCACCAGCACCACCATCATAACATCCACCAGAACAACGTGATTTACACTCGTGTGGATAGAAACAAAGACAACCTGAATAACGAAAACACGTTATTGACAGTCATGCTAGTAATATCATCACAAGAGTAATGGTAGAAGTAGAAGGATCGGGTTGACGAACGGCGCCGGGGTTCGGCATACTGTGGCAGAAGATGTTCCCGTCTATGTTGCCCTGATACATGCCTTGGTCCGCAAACCGTCGCTACACAATACCTTGCTTGTAAGAAGCCACCGGTTCCTGTCTTCTGGGTGATTATGATTCCATTCTCATATGTCGAGTTCTAACTTTGCCTTGCTCATTAGCGGTCAGTTCTTATAACTACGGCCGCAGTTGGAGCGCAGGTTCCTCACAGCCCTCAAGCGTTTGGATCAGTAGGGTTCATTTTTGCTTTGGAGCTTAGTGCTACAAAGGCTTGTTGATCGCTTAGGTTTTCCAGACCATGTGTTTAGGATATGCCTCCAACGCTTGAAAACAAATCCTTCGACACCGGCTGCCAAGCCGTCCAATCGGAATCCGACACCACCCGGCGTCAACTTACCGAGCATCAGCGCCTGGAGGTGGTGGCATCGCCTCTCGAGCTCTTGGGCTTCTTACAAAAGACACAGCAGAGCAGAACCATTTAAGCGTATCATGTAACCGTGCTACATCATGCAACGGGGTACGGTGATGGAAAACATGAGCATCTTACGTGGTAAACCCTACTAATTACCATATAGTGCAGTCTTCTGCTTGAGGTGGCTAAAAGTCTTCTTTGACTTAACCCAGCACCCTCGAAACCGTCTGGGCCTTCGCTGCTGCATAGAAGGTGGAGGCGACCCCCAAGCCGGATGCCATCTGAGGATTCCACGGTTTAGGGTTTCAGGCAAAGCCCGGGGCTTACAGTCTGCTTGCTGTCTTCTGGGAGTTCAGGCGTCGGTCTGATATTGAAGGACAATCTTCCAATGGTTTCTTATACCAGAAGAGGAGAATGTCATTCCGACTTTCCGGAAAGAAAAACGGTACTACTCCCGGCCAAATGCAGGTTTGGGGTCAATGGCCTATCTGAACTGCCCGCGAAAACAAAGGTCGAACATTGTCAAATATTGAAATGCGGCATTGCCAGCTGATAGTTTAGGAGAACGAGCAAAAGCACAGACTTCGCCCGTCGCGGCCACACCAGTGCTCATAGTCACCATTCCAAGGGGCCGCTAATGGGCTGCTGGTGCAAGCGAGGCGTTCGACATGACAGTTGGGCATTTTGCAACCTGGGCGATCTACCTGGAGTCTATACTTTCTATGCACAAGACTGTCCGGGTTTTTCTCAGATCTTCCAGAAAAGTATGACGAAAACGCCCTGTCCCCCTCTCGCTCTATGCGGGAATCCAGCTGAGGCACCAGGGAGCCGCCCAGGAGGAAGTAGCCCATGTCCCCGAGGCCGGTGGTGCTGGTCATCACCCCTGGGTCGACGCACTTAACGCCCAACCTCGGGCGTAGGGGTTGGGCTATACCCTGTACCTTCCTTCCGTCTCCATGAAAGCGATTCGGGATGTGAAAGAGTGCTGGGGCTCAAACAGGCCTGCTTACCGGAAGGCCCGAGCTTGGGGAGTTTGGGGATGGGAGCTTATCAAAGAGAGTTCGGGGTTCTCATGGTGACTGAGATTCGGGTCTCGGAGCTTCAGGATGAACGAAACAGAGTCTGTGCAGTGTCTGCGAGCACCTGTAACAGCCGAGGTTGATAACATCCTGGGCTGTGCGTTGAGGGTTCGCGGAAAGGTACCTGCGAACCCTTGCCTGAACGCCACCAGCACACGGAACTACAATTGGCAGGTTAGGGCCTAGGTCTATGCACTTGTGGCCACTCGAGCAAGGGATAGTCTCTGGCCACAAGAGGTGGAGGCCGAAAACTCTGAGCGAACCACCGAGGCCACCGGCACCGAAGCAGAAGAGAGTGGCCTGGGAAAAGGAGCTTCGAAGGTTCAGGGCGATTTAGTCATACAGACTTACAGGGTGTAGGATCAATTTTTTTTGCAGAGCGTAGGGCTGGCGGCAGGGCACACGTACTTGGATGGTAGATCTGATGAAGCTGAAACAGAGAGCCTGTTTGCAAGGCAAAAACCCAAGTGTACGGCCACCTCAGAGGGGCTCCACCAGCTCTCTTTGATCCAGACTCTTTCCCTGTATCACAAAAAAACTGGCGAATTGCAAAATTACACTCAGCTGAACCATCAAGGAACACCTTCAGGCCACAATTCCCCAAAGCAATGGCGCGTGCCCTCAAATCGTAACCGAAACGCAGACTGTGCAGTTTGCCCCAAGGAACCTTTCAGGAAAAGTGCTGTCGCAGGATTCTCACACCTCACACCTTATCATGCCGGAGTGTCCCTGCGCAACATCTTCGGAGTGGGTTTTGGGGTTTAGGGCTTGCTGTCCTCGCACAAGGGTTCCAAAAGATCCATCGATCGATCGATCGACACACTAATGTTTATATCTACATGTTTGTACCTGTGTCTATATCCATATCTATACATATATATATATATATACCCTAGGCTTCCAAACCACGGGTTTAACGGGTGCGTTCAAGTAACCCACGCATTTAACTTAACCCACGCATTTAACTGCTAGTAGGTTTGGTCTTAGATTCTGCCCATAAGTGCTTAAGTTTGTGGTCTGGGAAGTTTCGGGCGTTGCTTTCGAGGCCGGGGGCGTTCGGTGTATGTTGGTCAAGGATGCTTCGGGCTTGCTTTCGGGGTCGAAGGGCTCGATGTAGAAGGGATAAGGATCGCTAAGCAACATCTGCAGCAGCGGCAGCAGCAGCAGCAGCTGATCCTGGCGTTCGAGAATCGGTGCGCCTCCGCCCTTTTTTACCGTCTGCGGGCTGCACTCAAGTTCAGGGCCACCATCCTAGAGGGACGGCGCATCGACGCCAAGCGGAAGCGGGCGTATTTCACAATCGAGCATTCCATATTCTTCTTGTCGCATGCCTGTGCAACGCCTTGGGGTGCATCATCCCTCATCAGTACTGGGCTTCCGGTGTATATTCAGTGCTTCAGTCAAAATCAGCTCAGGCACCTTTCAGCCACCGCATAGCATCTTCTTCACGAAACGTGTGGTGCAGCCGTGTGTTGAGACCTTGGGTGGCAAAGTTTTGCTCATTATGAACCTTCGGGGCACCCAACTGGATAAAGCTTTAAAGCAATCGGCATTCAATCCAAGTCTCGTCGGTGCTTGACATCTTTCAGTTGATGATGAAATGACTTAGCAGGCAGGGCAAAGGCTTCCAAACCATCCAACTCAAGAAAGCCACTCTCCAAATGCAGAGAAGTTTCGTGCATTTTGGGGCGGACATGCCAATGTAGTTTCTCAAGCCTCGTGTGTTGCATTCGGTGAGGCATGATCTTCATACCCTGAATCCTGCTTTCCACGAGAAGCGGGCCTCATCGAGAGCTTGCAAAGCAAGTTGTGGTATCTAAGATACCGCATGCCGTGATCGTAGATCTCATCTGCTTGTGCAGTCGTCCTGTACAAGCACAAACATTGGCCCTACACAGACTAAACCTTATCATCCCGCTAAGCTCTCCTCTCATTTCAACACAAGCAAAGAACACCCAAGTCGAGCAGCAGGTACACAGGGAATCGCTCGACGGCGTCAAACCACTGGCAGAGCGATTGCCTCGGGGGATTTTGGGTCTTTCAGTTCTTGGGTTATTGAAGATTTTATTAAGTGTTCGGGGTTTGAGGTTACATCGGGTTGCGATAACTAGATTAATTCTGCTCAAATTAAATCAACAAGGCTTTTGCTGGATAGCTTCAAAGGATCATTGCAGCACAGATGGGGGCGAATCGTATGTCATCATCATCCGGCCAAGGTTTCCCTTCATTCTGATGTCGCTCATGAAGCCACTGCCCGAAGTCACGGGTGGTCGTGGTTCTGTGGTATGAAGCCCTTTCCATGCAATCCCCAAGCCACATTGCAATAACTCGACCGTTGTATCCCTTGTGAGCCATGTGGGCCCCATGCTTTTCCGGCTTCCATACCTAGGGCAGGGGCCAGGTTGCAGAATCAGTTCTATGCTCTAGACCTTACATGTCATATATGTGAGACCGATTGCTCAATGCAAGTGAGTAACAAAATTCGGCACAAACTTGGTTTGGGAGCAAGTCACACCCTTTTCCCTTTGGAATGTCTTAAAATCGCGGAAGGCAACAACCAAGAGCTTGTGCAAGGAATTGGCGACCGGGTCTCCAAAATACCCATTCTCCACCAAGAACATCCTTAGCATTCGTAGGCAGTTGGATCGAGCATGAAGTGTTGTCGGGGATCATAAGTCGGGAATCACAGCTTTGCATTTGAATATCTTAGCAAATGCTTCTTTGCTAATTATTGAAGTCAATTAACAAGGTCGAGCCAGTAGCATCCTGTGCTACTCCCAGGTTGACATTATGTAAGCTGCAGTGGCAAATCATTGCAAAATGAAAGCCACGTAATCCCAGTAGGGGGCCTCGGTCACAGTGGTTCGTCGTAGGGTCGGACTTAAGTATAACACCTTCTGGCTTCGTAGAAATTACTACTATGTTAAGTTGGACCTACATCATCCAGACTATTTGAGAAAAGTCACAAACATGGTTCTGGCCGATGCCCTCAACCACGAAACGGTTGTGAGATAGCTGCGTTTGCTCCCAGGACGGGTCATCAGACAAGTCGGTGATCGGGTGCCGGGCTTGGTGGTGATTTTCAGCATCACACCTCCAACAACACCACCTGGTCTTCCACCATCGCTTTAACCTCCAGGTCTGATAGTGATATTCCCAGTCCCCCTTTATCTGTGTCACGGCGAATTTCCTACCCAGAGGTCGATTGTCCGGGGTCAGGCCGTCAAAGGCAGCATTCAAAGATTGCACAACAGCAAGGTAGAGGGGGTTGTGGCTTTTCCATCCCAAACTCAGTTCGGTCTCCAGGTTCCACAGCAGCCATTGACTCATCCTTGTAGACTTAGGCCGCCACAAAACCAAACTCAAAAAGCAACCTGTCACTTTGCTTTGATCGTAGCCTTGCCCATATCGAGCCGTGTCCCCGTAGAGTGTTACAGGGATGTGAGTGCCATCGAAAGCGGGATCGGAAGCCCAGGGACAGTAGCGCTTGCAGTGCTTCCAATACTTGGATAGGGCATCTGTACTAATGTTGAGGCCCAGCTCGTCAAACACATAGGCCAGTATGCAGTGGGGGAGGAGAAACGGAATCTTTACACGTACTTCTTCCTCCGAATCAGCCTTCTTCTTGACGATGGTTTCCACGTAAGTAGGGGCCTGCCAAACGGCCCGATACCTAATTCCCGATCAAGCAACACGAGCTTATGTAGGTTATAAACCGTAGGCAAACCCAAACAAGCCCCGTGAACCCTAAACCTAAGCGGGGCCTAAAGGCGTTTGTTGTGGTGGCTAGGCTCAGATTCTGCGGGTTGGTGGTTCGGGTCGAAGTACTGCAAGGGCTTAGATCGGGGCTTTTCGTAAGCAAGCACCACGGGAAGCCGAACGGATCGTGCAAAGTCACGGGCATTGTTCTTGCCGCAAAAGGATCCCATCTTCGTGAGCGGGGCGGGCAGCAGAGCACCAGCAGCGTCCTCGGCTAAGGTTTGATCAAGAGCCATTCAATTGATTAAATTCGGAGGGATATAATTTTTAAGTTGGTGCAGCTGGGTTTCGGACACACAGGATTTAGCACTTCTCATCTCGCGGCCGATGGAGCTCGCCTTCCAGGGTTTGGTTTGTTCAGGTTGGGCTTTGGGTTCGACGGTGGGTTGTTATTGAATTTATTCAGGGACAACGATTCGGCATTCGGTGTAAGGCAAGGGGCTGCAGCAGCAACATTGTCGATCATGTCGAACACCATTTCTGATGAAGGCGGGAGAGCACCTGCGAGCGAATGGGTGTTTAACTAGATCTAATGAATTGAAATGGCGCATATGCTTGCACGTTTGGCTTTCTAGGCAAAGCTAGGCGAGCTGGCTGTCACATGAAGCTTTTGTCAGCGGGGCCCACCAAGTCGCATCTACCCTACACAGCTATGTGCACGGGGATTTCCCCGTCCCCTTGCACGGGGTGTAGGCTACTGGCAGGTTTCGTTCATACTCTGTAGCACCGCACAGTTCGGGGTGCCGAAGGCGAAAGACCGACATTAGATATCGCAATGCCGGGTAAAGCATCATCTTCTCCACACAGCACCACTTTCACGAGGACTATTACATTGCTTACACAGGTTAGGTGGTGAAATAGACGGTTGGGTTATCCGTTTAGACTATCCACTCGCGTGCTGCGTCTCGGACGAGCTTCCTACTTCTTCTCCTTTTTGGAGAAACTTTTCTTCTTGCTGAATGCAAGCACTGAGCCCTCCATCTTCTTCATCAGATCCTTGGCGGCGTCGGTCATCGACAACATCTGCTCCTCCTGACAAGACTAGAACTACTTAGGGCCCAGCGTGCTGTTTTCGGGGGTGCTAGTAAGTATGGTGGAATGCGAAATTAAGGCTTCCAAGTTTTGTGTTGCAGGGCTTTGGCCTCAGGAGTTTGGTGTCGGGACCAGGAACAAACCCAAAACCCTAAGCCCCCTACATGACTCCAAACCCTTTCCATCCGATAAAGCAAAATGGTTGAGGCAGCCAAGCAGATAAGGAAAACCGAGCTCCTGATGCCCATCGATAGCAGCCTGCAAGTTTGCTCTGCAGGCCGTGAGCTGTGCGATGGCATCATTGACCTCCTTCCGAACGGCGTTCTGCACGGTCTTGCTCCTGGGCACAAGGCAGGATCGGCAGAGCGAAGCATTCGTTCAGAGTTGTGTGTGCCACTGCCAGTTTGAGAGACTTAGCCCCAAACAAACCTTCCAGCTCTCCAATCTTTGTGTTGTGGTCGCGAATCATCTTGCTGAGCTGGCCGATCACCTGGGAGGGCAGACGAGGGAAAGGGTGAGAGCATGGGTTGTTTTCGATATATCCGATATATGCACACAAGCCTTGTTGGCATCCTGCTTTGTCTTCTTCAGTCGCACTTTCTCCTCCTCCTTCTCCTTATCCTCCGGTGACATTTCCTCTTTGTCCTTATTATTCTTGCTCTTCTTTCCTCGCTTCTTGTTCTTTTTGGATTTCTTTCCAGCCTTCTTGTCTTTCTTGTCTTTGCCCTCGCCAAACTTTAGGATTTGGTCATGAAGTCACGGCATGGCGTGTTGCATAGCTGCATACATCTCAACATGAGGTATATATACATGTCTAGCGGCCAAGACACATATGTATAATATATGATTCAGCATAACATACACCCGTTCAGTTGCATTTCATAAATACAATACTACATGAACACACAATCACACACACACATGCATGAATGCATAACATGTACAAACGTGCACGATCGTTTCAAGCACTCGCTCAGCCACTCACTCATTCACCATATCTCACACACGACTTCCCGGTCCTTGCCACCTTTCTTCGGCGTCGGCTTGTCATCGTCCTCGCCGTCGTCGTTGTCCTGGCTTTCGTCGTCTGTGTCGTCGTCGGAAGATGCGTCCTCCATCCGGAACATATCCTCAATCTCATCCATATCCTCGATATCCTCGTCTGTCACTTCCTCCTCGACAAGCACCAAGTACTGCATGAGTCCTGCGACATATCACAAAGCTGTTTGCACTGGGCAGCATAGGGCCACACGGAAAAGGATTTGGATTGCACTGACACCGACACCACAACCCCCCGTTCCTGGGCAGTCCGGGTGCTCCCTGACTTCCGTAGACCGAAGGTAATCGTCTGTCTCTTTGCGGGCGATAATGCTGTCCACGACTTCTGCGGAGTCGAACACGGTCAACATTTGGCGCTTTGTGAGCCAGCGGCGAATGCCGCGACGTCCGTTGCGGGTGATGGACTTGATGCTTTTGTACACCAGACTATTGCCCCAGTTCCCCTCCGTTTGGAGGAAGTCCTCGTACAAACTGCTCATCTTGTTCTTGCCTGACATGAAACAGGATTTGTGAAATCAAAATGGAGTATGTTGCCAAATCCTGCATATGTGACGAAACCTGTGGCCACTTAGTGCAAACATGTTGCAGTACTTGGACTGCTGGAAGGCAGACTTGATCTCCTTGGGGGCGGTGCGGCCTCGAGTTTGCTTTGCATTCATATAATGTGCAAGTCATGTAGCATGAGGGCACATCAGAGTGCATTCTTAAGTGTGGGAACAAAAGCAACCGAGCGGCTGTGGACACTTCTGTAGAATCGCATGTACATCCTGTGTGCTATCTTTTTCTTTTCGTCCATGCTTTGCTCCTCCTGCTCGTTCTTGCTTGCCTTGCTTTTCTGTGGGGATGTCGGCTTGGCACCTGCTTTCTTCGGAGATCTCTTGGGAGACCTGGGCATGGGATCCTTGCTAGACCTAGCTTTCTTGTCACTGGGCTCTTCGGTCTCGCTTCCATCGTCGATGCTGGGCTTGGTCGCGGCTGTTTTGCCAGAGTCCTTTTTGGGCGTGGCCTTGGCCTTTGCTTTGCTGTCAGGCTTCTTGCTGGGCTTGGTCGCGGGTGTTTTGCCAGAGTCCTTCTTGGGCTTGGTCTTGCTGGGGTCCTGGTTCTCCTTCTCAGAGTCCTTGCTGGGCTCGATCGTGGGCGTGTCATCGGCCTCTTCGTTGGGCTTGGTGGCTTTGGGTTTGCTGCTGGCAACCCTTGCTTTGTTCTTTGCTTTGGCCTTGGCCTTAGGGGATGTTCTCTTGCCTTTGGGGGCTTCTTTGTTGGCTGTGGTGTCTGGATCCTCCTGGCCCTGGCTGCAATCAGCCTCCTCAAACTCATCCTCGAGGTTCTTTTGTGCCTTTGTTGCATCAGCTTTTCTTTCGGACTCCGTTTTTTGATCTACTGTTTGCGGCCTCCTCAAAGCATGCCTGACCTTCTTCGAAAGAGATCCTGACAATTCGGTCGATCCAGGCCGCTTCAGCTTCGGCGGCGGGGTTTCCACAACTAGTGTGGCAGCGGAATCGACTCTCAGCGGGCCCCTGCCGGCTTTCTTGCCTTGGAAAGTTCTCTTTCCAGGCGGCGTCTCCTCATACTCTGGGAAAGGATTCTGGGCATCTTCCTTGCTGCTGTCGTATGACCTAGGCACAACCGAACATATTTCGTAGGCATGTAGGTTGTTCAATTCAACCACTCGAGCACTGCATGTGTCACAAACAAACAAGTACCACAAAGGATCTCACCACTTCCTGCATGGGGGCGAAGAGGTCTCAGAAGTGGAGTCGACCCGATTCTGCCGCTGACGGGCCTGCTCCAAAATCTTCTGCACGTCGATTGGCATCCCGCCGACGTGCTTCGAAACTTCTACAGGTCAGCACAACACCCACACACGGCAAGATAGACCTGTGATAGCAAAGCCAGCAGCAATTGAAGCATGCGTTCAGAACTGCGGGAGCACTTCACGGACTCAAGCTGTAGCGTTTGGGCTTGTGGGTTTTTGTAGCAATTTAGGGCGACCATAGTTTCACAGTTATATGGGTGGTTTTCACGGTTTTCACGGTGGGTTTCACGCTGTTTTCACGCTGGTTTCACGCTGTTTTCACGGTGGTGGTTTTTGCTAGCATTTCACAAACTCAGCACTAAACTGATATGCTGCGTGAATCACAGCAAAAGCTCACAGCCAGTGCTGCAGCTATCACCTGCACAACCACCCATTGAATCACAGGACACACTTCGTCGTTGCACACAGCCTTTCACACTATCGTGGCCAAGCAGGCGGAACACCCGTCACGGAAAATCAAAGGCTGGCACATATCGCCCGGCTGCTATTTCTTCAAGAAGAAAAGAAAACAGTGGTCCCAGATTGCGTGCTTCCAATCAAAGGGCGGCTTCACCACCGGCAAGCTCTGTGCGGCCTTGACACGAAGCCACATAAAGCCAATGCAGGGACAACTGGCTGTATTGCATGACAAAACCCTTCGGACACAGCTGGATCCCAGCCTCGGCAAGCTTCTTCACACCCGGGGCCAAGTGGCAAACGTCGCTGTTCTAGGCACAGATTTGCATATATTATGTACGAGTTTGTGTTCTGATGCTATGCACAGCAGACAAAGCAGACACAAGACCCGGGGATGCAAGCAAGAGGCAATCACTTTGACGTGGTGAGAGGCAATTGCTTGCCCAAAGCCAGCCGGGTAGGTCTGCGTGTGTTTCAGCTTTGGCCCTCCCTGCCTCAACACAAGCGAAGTTCACTTTGCACACATATACATGCAGGCACAGGACGACAGTCAGAGACACGGAGAAACAGAGGGAGAGACAGAGAGAGAGAGCTAGAGAGAGATTTCAGCAAGAGAGAGAGAGAGAGAGAGAGAGAGAGAGAGAGAGAGAGAGAGAGAGAGAGAGAGAGAGAGAGAGAGAGAGAGAGAGAGAGAGAGAGAGAGAGAGAGAGAGAGAGAGAGAGAGAGTGTGTGTGTGTGTGTGTGTGTGTGTGAGGTTGGATGGGCGTGGCTACGGGTGGGGCGGAGGGCGGGTGTGCGGGTGGTGGGTGTGCGGGTGGCAGGTGGGCGGGTTGCGTGTGTGCGGGGAGCTTTGCGGTTGAATGGGTGGCTGGGAATAACATATAAAGGAGGGAGGGAGAGAGAGAGGGAGAGCGAGAGTGTGCGTGTGTGCGTGTGCACATGTCGGTGTGCGTTTGTGTGGGGGCATGTCTCGAGGAAAATTCTCGGTCTGAGTGAGTTGGGGAAAGAGAACTTGAGCTGTATCTCTTATGCTCTCCCTCTCTTTCTCTCTCACTCTCTCTCTCTCTCTCTCTCTCTCTCTCTCTCTCTCTCTCTCTCTCTCTCTCTCTCTCTCTCTCTCTCTCTCTCTCTCTCTCTCTCTCTCTCTCTCTCTCTCTCTCTCTGTCTCTCCCCCTCTCCCTGTTCCCTAGCTCAGATTGGTACATGCAGAAACCGAGAGCAGGATCTGAGGTCGGCTCACAACGTTCTTGCCCGTACCCTGCTGCTTGTATCGCTTTGAAACTCCCTTCGAAGAAAGTTTCAGCTCCTTCTTCTTGCTCTTGGTCAGGCGTTCAAACATCGATGGCAGCCACGGCCTCACAGAGCTTCGAAGAACCTAGTCCCGTGTTGCTGCGGTTCAAAGCCAGGATGTAAATGGTAAGACCCCAGCGGAGTACCCACGAGCACGGAGAGCTTGGGCGATCTATGGCCGTAGGTCGCCATCCAACTTAGCGGTTTTATCATTTCGGTGCATTTGAAATCCCTAGAGTTTTCTGCAACTAACAGGTCGTGGCTAAGACCCTGACAATCGAACGGTCAGCATCTCCATGTAGGAAGCATAGCACTCTCGCACGAAGTGCAGGTAGGGAAACTCAAGAAATAGGGAGCTTGAAGGTTGCTCGATGGTCCAGTGCACACACCGCATGCATGCCAGCAGACACAGCAGCACGGTCCGAGTTGCTAACCTGGGCTGGGAGTCTGAGTGTTATGTTGAAGGTGCGGGGCTTAGGGTATTTAGGGTTTATAACTTATATAATTAGGGTCACACTAGGGGTACGTTCGGGGCAGACACAAACAACCCTTGCCTTGCTAAATCAGAAGGAGAAAGCTCATTCGCTTTCTTCACATAGGCATATTTGGGTGTACCGAATATGCACCATCGCCGCCCCGAGGTGGAGCGATTCATGAACACCCACGAGTTGCAGGGCAGGCCACAGGCCAGCAAGCCTTTTCTCTGGATTCGTAGCACTTTGTTCACGGCACGGACCAGGCCGAGCCTCAGACCAAACCCCTTACAGAACAGCATCACCGCTTAGTGCAGCGTGGGAGAACTTAGGCCCTGAATTGAGAACCCGGCACCGTCAAAAGATCATCTTCTTCCCTGGCACACACATCGAAGTAGTCCCTGAGTCATGCATCTTGATCACGGCTTCCTGGAAGCGCTCAAACGATTGTAAAAGCTGAGACCCCTGCGACTTGAGGCCACGTGCATCTCGGAAGCAAAGCAACGAATATAGATCCACGAAGTGATAGAACTACTTACACCCGAAACCCGTAATTTAAAGTCTAGTGCTTTATCCATCAGGCAGACTGCCTAGATCAAAACTGACAGGCATGGTGTTTCATAGAGAAGGGCAGAAGTAAAATGTAAGGCCAAGGCTGAATGCACTTTCGATAGACCTCTTCCCGGCGAAGAGGTCCACACAGAATAAGTCCTAGGCACCATTGAGCACAAGGAGCCCCACATAAAGGCAATCAAAACCGAGGCTTCAGCTCGAACTCGGTTGGAGCCAGTTGCATTCTGGGCTATGTAGTCGACAAGGTGTAACCTGAGGGGAAGGATTGGGTTGGCTGTTGGTTCGTGATAAAGTTTCGGTTTAGGGGCTTGGCTTTTAGGGTTGAGGAATTGGATGTTATGATTCCGGTCGAGCCACATCAAGCTGGGAAAGCCAGCATAGGCCAATGCAAGCAAGCATTCGCGAGACAGGGCCAGGTCGCTTAACATCCAGTCAGCCATGCCTGCTAACCTTGCATAGGTAGATCGAGCCCCGAGCTTGATACGGAACAGGTCGTCGTGGATGCTTGCAGTGCACACAACCGGCAAGCTCAAAGCAGTGTGTGCTGTGGCTTTTTGTCCTTTTGGAGCGAGGCTTCTGCGTATGCTCGTGCTGCCGGAGTTGCCAGAACCTGTCGGGGTACAATAACGAACGAGTGCTATCAACTTCAAACGATGTTTGGGAGATGCCTCTTTCGATGTCCCATTCACAGCTGCCACCCAGCTGCATGTAAAGCAGCCTTCCACCTTGATGCGATGCGAAGCCAAAACCCGAAGGAACTCAAGCTGACCCCAATCCCGAACGAACTTTTGGGTGCCAGGCGAAAGCTCCAAGCTGTCGAAGTGGTTCCATCCCATGGTGAGGCCGCCCTTTTGGTTGATCTCGGCATCGGCAGGGCTTTCGGTGTAGGGATATAGTAAGACTTCGAGAGGTAGTTGGGCACCGGGCAGCAAAGTCCATCTTGTATTTGAGGTTCAATCCGGGAATTCGGCCCGGGTCAGGATCGGTCACGTACCAGTGTCCGGAAGATGGCGTGAACCTGATCTGAGATTCGGGTTGCGTGGATTCTGTAGGCTAATAACTTCACAATCAACAAAGGAGTGGGCCTCGGGGAAATGGTAGTCTCGTGACCCTCCAATCGAATAGTCCATGACCTCATGCGAATACATTTGCAAGTCTTGGAACACGGATGCAATGACTCGTACTGCTGAGTTTTCTACCCTTTGGATCCTGTCAGCACGAGCTCGTCCAACTCCAAACGGTCGTCCTTCTTTGCCAACTCCCGGAACTTGGGGGCCCAATGCGCTTTGACCTCCCGGAGTTCAGTCGTGTACCCTCCTAAAAGGACGAAGCAATAATAGTTCCACAACCCTATTCAAAAAGCTTAGCACACAAACGGTTTGCATTGTTTTATCATTCTCAGGGTTATATAATGAATTTATCAAACGTAGTAATTCGTAGAACATAGCACCCAACTAGTCCCCTAGCCCCCTTAAACCTTGAATCCCTCGCACCCCATAAAGCAACATCCCATTCACCTACAACCCTGAAAGTAGCATCCCGCCAACCTTGTCAATCGGCTTCTGAGAATCTTTGTCTTTGTCCTCGGGTTTCTGGGGACATTTCTTCTTATCCTCGGGGGACTTCTGGGGATCTTTCTTCTTATCCTTCGGGGACTTCTGGGGTTCATCCTTCTTATCCTTGGGGGACTTCTGGGCTCCCTCCTTCTTATCCTGCGGTGGCTCCGGGGCATTTTCCCCTTCCTCTTCCTCCTCCATTTCTTCATCGTCAGCCTCCTTGTCCTCTCCTGGAACATGTTTAGCCTTCTTCGCTGAGGCTTCAGGCTCCGCACGAGCAGCCGGCCTTTTCAAAACATCATCTTTCTTCTTCTTTCCCTTCCCCCGACCCTTGCCACCCCTGCCCCTCCCCCGCCCTCTCTCAGGGACGGAATCAGGCGAGCGAGGGTCTTCATCATCATCAGCTTCGGCACCCTTCTTCTTGTCTCGGAGGGCTTTTTTTGTTTTCTTCTGAGCCTAGCAGCAGATTCTGCGAAAGATGCAACCGTACTACTGTGATTGGTTCCAGAACCCTAGTGCCCTAGTGCACGAAGATAGCAACAGAGCCTCCAAAGCCAAATTTGCATCCTCCCCCTGCGAAGCTTCTAGCATGCTTTCAGCTTTGGCATGTACTTTGCTCTTGATTTTCGGAGTCTTTCTTTGCTGGACTGCTTCATCCTAGCACAACGAGAATATCTGGAAGCGGTTAGATTTGCTCTGTCGATTGCAATGCAGAACAGAGCTCCTTGAATGTACCACCATCCTTTTCTTTATCCGATTCTTCTATGTCTTCTCCAGGCATGCACTCATCCTCTGCTAGAGGCTCTTCTTCCTCTCCCTCTCGCTGGCAGGCGTGGTCGTCGTCGTCGCCATGCGCTTCATCCTGGCGGTGGCAGCAGCAGCAACAACAGCAACAGCAGCAGCTGTACGACTGTAGAACTCAGGCATTACCCTGATGTATTGTCTCATCTGCGAAGAGTATGCAATAATATCATTTTCAAATCAGCCGCTTACTGTATGCATGCTTATGTTCAGTTCTTCAAGCCCGAATCCACAGGCCAGATCCCGAAATCAATCCCTAAGTTGAACACAACTGGATTTAGGGTTTAGTCTTACACTGAGGCATCGGGGTCCAGGCATCAGGGTTTAGTTTGAACTGCTGCAGGCACATAAAGCAATCAGGGTTATCAACTTTCAATAAACTTAAGGTGTAGCTCTATAGGGAAGTCTAGGGCTTGAGATTGGAAGCTCCGGCTTTAAAATATAGTATGTCGGACGAACCCAAACCCGAACCCCCGTTTCCGACTTGTAAAGCCACTCTACCTTCTTGAATCATAAGCCCTGGCCCCTTCCTTCCAACTCGACCCGACCAAGCCCAAAACCTCAAATGCACCCTTGTTCGAAAAAGCATATATTACATATCCTTTAAGTTCCGACCCTAAGCCGCTCCGGAAAACCCCCTCAAAATAGCCCCGAATCTAACCAAGCCCGCCTTGCTCTCGGCCGGCTGTGTATCTGGCCGCATGTCCTGGTGGAAACATACAGGAAAGTTTGGGTGGGGGATTTAAACTCGCCAAAGTGGGCTCCTCTTTTTTGCTTTGGATGATTTGCTTCAAAGCTTGCATCTTCTCGTGCTCTTCACCTTTCCTGCCCAAGCTTGGATTCAAACACACATATATCACACATATGTGCAGACCAGTCATGTTTACTTGGGTGGATCCCAGATCGTTACATACTTCTCGCACGAAAACCACAAGTCGTGGACTGGCCTGGCTTTGGCATTCCTCTGAGCTCGGTCGCAAGCCCAGGAAGCGAAGCTCCTCAAAATGGCGCTTTCATCTTCAGCCCAAGCCTGGGCGTGCAAGAGTCGAGAAACCGCCTAGGAGGTTTACGATAGGTATCTCAATCCTGCCTGTTGGGCAACACTATCGATGGGATCGTTCAGCCGAAACGTAGAGCCGGCCCATAGCACTGCGGCCTGCAATCGAAAAGATGAAACGGTTTTCCCAAAAGAGAATCTAGAATTGAGACGAACGATTCTGAACGGGGCCTCCACCTCCTTTTTGGTTGGCAAGTCGCCCGCGAAGCTCCCACAATATGCTGCAATAATCCCAAAATTGTGCTCGGTGGTAACCTGATTCGGATGTTGTGTCTGGAAAATGCTCTGTCATCAGGATCATGCCCCGCCTGATCTTCGGAAATCGCTTTGCCCGTCACATCCAAGAACCGATACAGGAAGGGAGCCGCCTGCACCAAGTAGTTTGGAGTTGGGGTTTGATCTACGTACATTACATGACGGGTTTGGGCCTGCTTCTCACCTTTTGGGAGCTTTTGCTTGGCAGCTCTCCTGCCATCCTCGATTCTTTTATTGACGTACCCCGGCTTCAGAAGATCTCGGAGGAATTCCTGAACACGTGCATCACACAGTTATGCTTGCAGTTTGCAGGCTCAAAGGTTCCGTCCTTCAACAAGGAAACCCGGCGGGGGTTGGGCTTGGAATCCGGCATTCCTAGCTCTCGCTCGAGAGAAACAGCCGCTGCACATGTCAATGCCACTTCAGCACTTTAAAGCTAAAGGCAGGCAAAGCAAGGTGGGAGGAAGCACCGGCGGATCCGCAGGTTCCGTCTGCTATCAGACCTGGGCCAAACACGGGGAAGGGCAGCAATATTCGGGCGTTCGATGCTAACGAAATTGAGACACCGACGGTTCTTCAGGGCTTGTTCTGCTCGAACCACTGGCATCACGGGCACCTCATAGACTACTGAATGTTCTCGCGTGAAACTTTCAGGCATCCAAAAGATCGAAAGGGAATCTACTGAGAGGCGCACCAGCGAGATCGACCACAGCAAAAGGACGAGCATGAGTTTCCAAAAGCTTTTTGCTCGTGCAAATCTTGATTTGAAGATATTTGAAGCATGTGTTTGGGTTGCACAACTATTCTTTGCTCCTGCTCGGATCCATGCCCGATGAAACTTGAACCAACCTGAGTATCAAGCTTGTATTTGAGCAAACATGCCAAATCCTGGGCCCACCAGTTAAACGGGTGCGTTTGGATTCTCACGGTGTTCGGGGTGGGCGGACGTGCAGGGTATAGGCTTATACCCTAACCCCGTTTTAGGGTATTCAGTTTTATGGTTAGGATCGGTTATATAGACAAGCAGATACCCGAAAAAGGGGCAGGGTATGAGCCTACAAGCTAAGTTTCGGCTTGAAGGGTATTACGGCTTGATGGCTTTCGGGAATAATCAACGGTTGGACAGCGAAGAGCAGGGCAAGATTCGAAACCCTCCCCGAGAGCCAAATGTGCCTTAGTTAAGGAATGTAGCTTAAATCATAATATGAGGCCCCGTATAATGTTAGGCACATTCCTTCATTAAGGGGTACTGGGCTCTCTGGGCTTTTAGCCGGATAAACAAAGAGAGCGGGAGAACTGGTAAACAAAGAGAACATGCGAGCAGTGCTGCATACGTTGGGGTTTGTAGGGTTCTGATAAGAGTTCTTACGATATGGGATTTACTGTTTTGTGTGGTATTGGGGCCTTCGCAAATTATTTTCTTGGTGAATGGGGAGTGCCGGCACATTATACAATGAACAATGAATCTGATAAGGAACCCTGGGGCATAGTATGCATGAACTAATCAGCAGGTACTAGCAAATATTCTGGTTTCTTTATAGCCCTAGCATTTCCTGGGTGAATAATGAGGCCTTGTTTAATGTAGTATCTATTTTCGAACCCTTTAAGTTGAAGGGTCTGGGTGTAGGGCCCTATTTAATTACACTCAACACATGGTTTTTTGGTATACTGCAGTACAAGTATACAAGGTTTACAATATTGTGCAGGGTAGGGTCTACCACAGCTCGGACTGTTACGGGCATGTGCACAGCAGCACAAAAGAGTAGGGGTTATGTCGGGATTCCTGCTTAACATGCTGTTTGGGGCACATACAGTCTCAAACTATGAGTCAGCTTAGGCTGAAATCCAGAGACTCCGAAACCCGCTACGTTAGGGACTGTACCAGAAATCATATTATATAAGGATCCTGTTCGAATTCAGGGTATCTTGCTTAGTGAAACGGTTTTAGAGTCCCTCGGGCCGCTGAACCGAGGCTCGATACTTGGGCTCCGATGCTTACAGTAGGCTTGGGGAATCATCAGACTTAGCAAGTAAGGTTACAAGTACCGAAAACCCAGGTTAAAAAAAAACTCACAGTTCAATAAGACACATAAGAACGTTAATTTTTTCATGCTAACCCAACAATGAACTAGTTAGAGGAGTGAGGGATATCCAGCTTTATCTGTCTCATGGCACTGGCTATCAACTCCCCAAATACTTCAATTAAGCAGGCTTCGGGCCCTGGTGCAACGCACTTGGAGGTTCATGGGACTTAGTAAGTAGGGTTATAAGTACCTTACTTGGGGCTATAAGAAGTTATAAGCGTAGCTACCTTGCTTACAACCCCAATTACTAGGTCCCATGATCCTTCAAGCATAGACTTGCTCATTCAGGATATTGTTCTCCTCGTGGAAAGCATCCTGTCTCCATACCTAGTTGCCCACTACCTCAAGGATTTTTGAGCGCAAAGAGCATACAAACAACATGCTAGTATCTCGGATTTGCCCCAAGAACTTACTAGTACTCTGAGTTTGGGGGGGGGGCAGCTTTCCAAGGGGCAGCCTCGTTGATGTATACCCACACTGGTTAATTATTGCCCACACCAATAGAAAACAGATCCCAATAGTCCCAATAGTTAACAGAACCCCTTTCAAAAAAGTGCTTTACCAAACAGGGGTCTGCGCCTACAACCGTAACCATTGGACCCCGACAAACCCTGCGTAGCAAGAAGCTACAGTAGAAGCCAGAAAGTTGGAATATGATTATCCTAAGCCCTTTATGGTAAATTATAAGGTATCCTACCCTGAAACCATATTCCGACTTTCTGGAGTTCCCTGTAATCAGGTTAGCACGGAACCTAAAGCTCCAATCACTACCAAGCCCTGTAAGCCGTAAACCGTAAACCTCGTCTGCCCTGCCGGCCCATTCAATTCGCATAATATAGGGGCCTTGATAATTAGAATAGGGTTTTGGGATATGTTGTACTAGAGTTATAATACGGAAGCCCCAAACTCATGTAGGTAATTAGTAATGCCCCGATATTAAACCCCATCTAAATCCCTAAATGTGTCAAGGAACGCTACGGCGCTCTCGTAGGTGATAGTCTCTCTGACGCTTGAAGATGTGAATGAAGCCCTCCTGCAGTCGTGGGGACGTTCAGGTTTAGGGGTTAAGGGTTTAGGGGTTTTGGGTTTAGGATTTAGGGGTTTAGGGTATAGGGGTTTAGGGTTTAGGGTTTTTTTTAGGGTTTAAGGTTTAGGAATTAAGGTTTAGGGTTTAGGGGGTTCAACAGCATGGTCACAGGAATGCACAGAGTTTTGTCGGTTTGAGGGTTTGGGGTTCCCAGATTGTACAGGTTATCGGTATCAGTAAACCCCTCTAAACCCTAATCTACCCTGAACCCTGAAGGACTGTTAGTTATAGGATCAGTTTGTAGCCTGAAGCTGAGGACTCATAGCTGACGGATTTCGGGCACCTGGGTTGTACTGTAATCTAGGCCCCAGTAGCCCCATAATAATACAAGTAGCCTTTTTCCTACTGATTGGCTTTGATAACAGGGTACTACCGCAGAAGCTAGTAGTAAGTAGTACACGGGCCTCAAGAATTAGAACGGGGTTCATAAGGCCTTGAGGGGATACCATACGGGTAGAGCATACAGGGGTCTTCATAAATTTGAACACGGCTTCCGTGCCTATTCTAGTGGGACTCTTTAGAGTTTAGGGCTTTAGGGTTTAGAGCTTGAAGGTTTAGGGTTTAATGCCGTGATTTGATTAGGGTTTAGGGTTCAGGGTTTAGGGCTTTAGGGTTTAGTGCAATTGCCCCTTGTAAACCCTCTCATTGGACAACCCCTAACCCGCAACAACCGGACAAGCCAAACGCACTCAAGCCCCCCACACCCTAAACCTTTGTCGTTGACCCTAGTTACACCGTTAAGCCATATAGGTGGTTGTCAAAATTAGGGTCCCTTTTTGGGTCCCTATTATAATACGGCACCTAACATTTAGGGTGCCCAAAAAGGGACCCTAATTTTGACAACCACCCATATGTAAGCCCTAGACATCCGCAAAGGCGGATCTTGAGGCTACAGGCATTCAAAATACTCACAAGACCATCGACATGTGCTCTTTCTTCACGGATCAAACTCGACAGCTGCTTACCGTTTGGAGATATTGGGGTTGTGGGTCCTACATTCTTGAGTCTGATGTAGGAACCCGATTAAGAAGCCCTGGGCCTTTAACCCCAAAGTAGTAGGAGTCAGATAAGGAACCCTAATTAAGGCTGAAGGTTTCGGAAGCAGGTTCCTACACTACTTGGAGGGTCGGGGGACGTAGTAACTGGTTATTTTCGGGACTTATAACTACCATAACCCCAATTAGGGTCCCTTTTAGGGTACTTATAATAAGTCTACTTACTACCTACTTACTAAGTCCCCCGACCCTCCAGTAGGGCATACACCAGGCTGGGGGTTGCAGGGTTGGCAGTTTCGAGGGTGGGCTTGCTAACAGGCCCTAAACTTGAACTGCATGTCAGTATATCTCCTTATGAACCGACGAGAAACTCCACGTGAGCCTAAAGAGCAATCACCAACTTAAGTACTCTATAAGATAGAATCTAAAGCCGAGCTGCCTCCCCTTCAGGTCTATGGTTAGAAAATTTCCTGTCAACATGCTGGGATCTAGCGGAAACATCAGACAAGCGTAACCTAGCGTTGAAGTGGAGGCCCTACAATTTCTGCACTGGGGTTTGTATTGGAGCTGTACACAAGCAAATAATCATTAATGGAAGCTTCAGGGGAACCGCAAAGTAGCTTCAAGCCTACACTGCCTCAAGTTGTCAAAGCCCTGAGCCCTGAGCCCTAGTCTAACCTACACACCCAAAACCGTAAACCCTGAACCACACTCAAATGTCCGAGCCAACTTTCAGAACCCAAGAGAAGTTTACGCAAGACTTGCAACACCAAGCCCAAACTCCAGATCCCTAATACCTAAACCATACCTGCAGCCGAGAAAACCTGGCTCGTTAGGGTTCCTCATTGTTGTTTCTATATGTTTATAGAACTCCTCAAAAAAATCTGTAGTTTTTCGGCCGCAAGTACAAGCCATGTACATAGAAACTAAGCAAAAAGTTGCAACTGAAGTTGCAGGCCAGACTCTTGCGGCCCAGCCGGGCGTCGTGCTTTGAGGAGTCAAGTTGTGGAGTATGGATTTAGCAATATTGCAAAGGTGGCACTTAGTCCCTCATTTTCTGAAACTCCCATTTCAGGCATCTGGTGAACCGTTACGGCTAGGCGGCTACGCTACGAAACGTCGCATTTCTCGCGGCTTTCATGTCCTACATACTAGAAGAGCTCATCTAGATTATTCCCTGCAAGCAAAACCACGTGCAACAGTCACTTTCAAGTTTTTGGGATGAGCGAGGTCAACCATAGTCCACCATATTACATTATATGCATTCGCAGTGTCCTTGCTGCCCAAAACCAAGTCGAGGAAGCCGTTGCCATTTACGTCCACGGCCTGAAACCCCGAAGCACGGAACTCCCCCAAACCTAAACCCCAAGGGTCCGAGTACTTAATAATCATATACTCTCCAAATTCCTAACCTACACAACTACTATCCTAAAACCGAGTACCTAATTATTGGGTCCTTTGGGCCCTTAGGGTTCATTCTTCGAAAAACGCCCCTATATTAAAGCCTTATAATAGCGCTTGTAGTAGCTCTTATAAACCCATTTGTAAAGGAACCTTGTGCTAATTATTAGGTCCTTTGGACCCATATTCAGGGAAAACCTAAGTAACCCGAAGTAACCGTAAATCCTAAATAACCCTAAACTCTAAACCCTAAACCCCTAACCCTAAACCCTGAACCCCTAAACCCTAAACCCATAACCCTAAACCCTAAACCCTGAACCCCTAAACCCCTAAACCCTAAACCCCTAACCCTAAACCCTGAACCCCTAAACCCTAAACCCTGAACCCCTAAACCCTAAACCCTAAACCCCTAACCCTAAACCCTAAACCCTGAACCCCTAAACCCTAAACCATGATCTTGGAATCTTCGGGGTCTTCGGTTTCGTTCAGTCGGTTTCAAAACGAAACACGAACTCCTTTACTTAAAGGATCATGGGACGTAGTAAGTAGGTTTATAAGTACCTTAATTGGGGTTATATAAGAAATTATAACTGTAGTTACCTTACTTATAACCCGACTTACTAAGTCCCATGATCCTTGAAGTAAGGGAACCCAAACGGGCTTCTATAGGGTTTCTACATATAAATGGTACAAGGGCAGTTCTCGAAATTAGGATCCCTCTTTGTTTCCAGAATAGTACGGCGCCCGCATACAAAGGACCCTAAGCGGGACCCTAATTTGGAGATCTACCCATTTCTACAATAAAGTGCCTTCTGCCGCACGCATCTGGACGAACAAACTGGGACTCATAGTAGCGATGATTCCTGTCCGATTGGTAGACCGTCCCAGCCATGCCCGGCCGGCCAAAACAAGTCTCTCTGATCACGATCGGCCGAACACCCAAAAGACTCCCTAAACCCTAAATCTGCAGCCCTGAGCCCGAAACCCTTCACTCCCCAAAAACCAGACCTAAGAAACCAAAGCCTCGTGCAGACTCTAAACATGGGAGACTAAAGATCCGATACACGAGCCTGCGCCGTAACATAGCTTCCCGATTGGATCCTGCAAGACACGGCAGCCATTGCCCCGGAAGACGGATTCCGTGTATACTGGGGTTTGGAGTTCAGGGTTGAGGGATGTGTAGGATGTCTGGCTTTCTGGGGTTTGGGGCTAAGTTTAGGGTTTGGGGATGTTTAGGGTTGTTTAAAGGCATTTGCACCTTCTTCTTAGGGTTAAGGCTTTGGGTTTAGGCTGCAAGGCTAAGTGGGCGCTTTTAGGGTAAGGCATACTCGACCAAGGTATGGGCAGTCTGTCGGCAGTCTACCTGCACTTGGGGTTTTGCTCATGATACACGGGAGACTATCAAACGATATCACAAACTGACAAGTTCGGTACAAGCCTCATCATAGTGCCGAGTGCAAAGAATGAAGATTGGTGCTTCACAGTCGAAACGATAGATGTGCCAGTGGTTGCAGATCGAAGCAGCAAGACCCACTTATTGATAAATGAAAGGAGATGAAAGGGAGAGAGAGAGAGAGAGAGAGAGAGAGAGAGAGAGAGAGAGAGAGAGAGAGAGAGAGAGAGAGAGAGAGAGAGAGAGAGAGAGAGAGGGAGAGAGAGAGGGAAAGACAGGGAGAGAGAGAGACGGAGGCAGAAAGATACAAATACCAAATATTATGTATGTATGTATGTATGTATGTATGTATGTATATATATATATATATATATATATATATATATATATGTATCTCTCTCTCTTCGAAAAAGAGGGAGAATGTAGATACTATGGTACCGCATAAAACATGTTGCTTTCTATGGAAACATGACCCTCCGGACACATCAGCTAGATGAGCGCTCAACATAGCCCAACGTCGGTTTAGGCAGGTTTCAGGGTTTAGGTGTTGGTCTGTGGGCCAAAGTTTGGGTGCCCTGAGCCGCAGTGCGTGGTAAGGTCAGCACACTCGGCGTGTGACGGCTGAAGCTTTCCAGGAACCCAAACCCAAAGACTCCAATGCCCGTTGATTAAGGAATATACGTCAAATTATAGTAGGACCCCGAACATGATGTAAAGGAATGTTCCTTAATCAAGGGATATTGGAGTCTCTGGGAACCCTAAACAATGAACCTTCGCATCACGCTCTCAACTTAAAGGGCCCCCCTTGGCATAACACGAACTGGACTAAGGACTGGTTCATTGGATCAGGGGTCCACATGATGTCGATACATCCCAACCTCCCACCCTCACCTCCAGACAAGAAACAATACAAACCCCAGACATCTCCGCTTAAGACTCCAAGCTCTACACCCTGATGCTTCCTCCGTTCCCTAAACCCTAACCCCGGACCCCCCCACCCCAAACCCTTAAACTTCAGACCTTAGTATTCTTAGTCCTACATGACCGGATATCAACCAATTTCAGACCTTGAAGAGCCGCGAAGCATCCGCAAAACGAGCCCTTACAAAAACAACAGGAACAATTATCCTGAACCCTCAAGCATTATCCCTTCTCCCGGTCTCCGAAAATGGGGGACCCTACTATAATACCCTAAATAGCAGCATTATCCCTTCTCCCGGTCCCGTTGAAAGGATTGGCATGGCTGCTTCGCTCTGCAAGGTGTGCGTTCTCCATGCGCTCGAAGTAGAGCAGGGTGCCTAGTGTTCGTGTTCAGAGTTTAGGGTTTCGGGTCAGCGCGTAAAAGGGTTCTAGGAGGAATACGTGTGACGAGGCTTCGAATAAACTTTCTGAGCGTGGTAAAGATCCTTATAGGTCTTTTGTGTTTCTACATTGGACCAAAGGGCTAGGGGTTCCTACAATTGTAGCTACATGGGGTTTAGGATGGTACCCTGCGTCATGGTGTCGTCGAACCTGAGGAAGTTCATCCGCAGCGGTCCTGTCTCAGCTTGATTGCTGCGACCTGGTCTGCATAGCAACACGCTGCAGCCGCCACCTCCTTGATCTTCGATGTTCTTCACCATGTGGGTGGTTGTCAAAATTAGGGTCCCTTTTTGGGTCCTTAGTATAGTACGTCACCTATTATTTAGGGTGCCCAAAATCAAACAAGGGCCATAATTTGGACAACCACCCATGTAGACCCTGAAGTAAGGGAGAAGCTCGTGGTTGTGTGTAACCACTTCGGAATATACTCTCAGCCGCGTTTACACGGTCTGCCTTTGACTTGCAGGTAAGTATACGCTCGGCATAGGAGCTTAGGGTTCAGGGTAGAATATCGGGGCCTTATATAATCATTAGAATAGGGTTTTGGGGCCCATTATACCATAGTTATAAAAAGGAACCCCCAAAACAATAGGTAATGATTTAAGCCCACAAAGTAGGCCTGTCCAGAAATCTCAATTCAAACTCAGGCACGAACGGGGATTTGAATCACTTCGCTTCGCCCCCGCCCACGAAAGCAAAGGTACTTAGACTAAAGGGGTAAAGGCGCCAGGATTCGGGAATAAGGAGTTGTGAGGGTTGGGAGAGGTTTAGGGCTTCTGCCCAAAGATCCCAATACCCCTTAATTGAGGAATATACCTTAAATCATAATATTAAGGCCCCTATAACTTAAGGTATATTCCTTAATTAAGGCGCGCGCGCCTAAAAAAAACTACCCTGAAGACAAAACCTACAGAGGAGCGGCCGAGGGAAGTGTACAAAAGTGTGGCAGGCGCAGCAAAATCGCACGTTTTGACCTTCCCCAGCGGTATTGTGGCAGAAGCAAAAACGGGACACGATTTCGTGTCCAGTTTTCTGGGCGCCCTAGGCGACCATCAGTGCTATCATCATCGATGTCAACATCGCTATCATCCTCACAGCCACCATCGATATCACCATCATCTTCATCATTCTCATCATCATCGTTATCATCATCGTCATCAATGTGTTGAGCAGTGGGCTTTTTGCGTGCTGGGAAAAGCCGGCCTGAATGTATTCTCCGGACCTGGGCTGCAAAGCTAGTCTTACGGCAGAAGGCGAAAACACTGGTGGGGCCGATGACTTTGAAGGTCGCGGCAAGTTTGTTGAGGTTTGTGGGTGGAAAAGGTATGGGGCAAAAGGTCTTTGCACAGTCACCTTTGCCAGATCGCCAGGTCATCATTGCTACCACGATTGTTATCATCATCGTCATCATCATCGTTATCATCATCGCCATCGCCATCGATATCATCGTGACCATCGTAAGTTTCATCAGCATCGTTGTCTTCCTCGTCGTCAACATTTCGAGCGGTAGTTTTTTTTAGGCGCGCAAGCCTTAATTAAGGGGTATTGGGTTCTCTGGGTGGGTTCTAGCCTGTATTGGGCTCAAGCTCCAGGGACGCGAAATCTCAAAGCCATGATCTGATGAGCTGCTAATGCAATCAATACTAATTAGCAGACTCATACAAAAGGACATGCTTGTTATTAGCGGGGCTGTAGATTAAAGAGTATCTCAGCAGATGCCCTATAAGCCTTTTGTAGAACATCTATTGCAAAGCAAACACGGCAAGGGCCTCTAGAGAAACATTGTGTCATTAGAAGCAGAATAACAACAAACGTAAAAATCAAAACATCACCAACATCATAATCATGGATCATAACTATAGTCGTATTCCACTTTAACAACAAAATTAACAATACATGAATAGTAAGAGTGGGACTATTATTCAATAATAACAACAAGAACCGTGACAATAGCATAACTAAATAATATTCATAGCAACGTAACACAGCATATCCGCTTACTAAACCAATGGCCTTGTACTAACATAAAGAACTGATTCCTAAGGGCATTAATGTAAGGGCCTTAATCAGTAGAATAGGGTTTTGGAGCCCACTATGCTATAACTATGTTCTAAGCGTATTGGTATTCTTTAGGGGGACTCGTGTCTGGACAAGGAGCCATCTGCTTGCCCCAGGATCAAATCCTCGGAGGGCTTCGGCGCTGTTCCGTGCGAACTCTCGAATTGGTTTAGGGTTTAGTGGTTTAGGGTTTAAGGTTTAGGGTCTATTAGGGCTTAAGGTTTAGGTTTTGGGTTTCGGGATTGAGGCTTAGTGCTGAAGGTTGAGGGTTCAGTATTTGCGCATTGGGGCTTAGGGCTTCTGGGGTTTAAGGGCTTTGGGTTTGCAAAGTTTAAGGCTCGGGGTTTACTATCAGAACTGCAGTACGAGGGGCTTCAACTGTCAACAGACCGAATCAAGCCTATAAAGATTGGTTAGGTGCAACCAAACCTGACCACCACTCCCCCCAACCATTATTCAGACGACTAACTCTAAAACATAAAGAACGTCGATCTCACAGGCTCGGAAAATGTTCCAGAAGCCTTAGATCGTTTCAGGCCCGACTTTCGCAATATTCCAGTCCTTGGTGCACCGGTCTGCTCCTTTGTAGTATTACCTTGAGGAAGAATCGTGGTAACTGTTTGGGAGTTTCCGAAAATAGGGGACCCTAATATGGTACCCTAAATAGTAGGATCTTGGGGGTTAGCTCAGGTTCCCTCCACCTAATTCGTTTGCCACCCCCTTGCCCGGCTTCTACCTGATTTGTCGGCCTCCCCCTCCCAGGCCTCCCCCCCCCCTCCCCCCTCTCCCCCCCCCCCCCCCCCCCCCCCCCCCCCCCCCCCCCCCCCCCCCCCCCCCCCCCCTGCCCCCCCTCCCCTACCCATTCCTCGCACTTCGTATCAACCGGGTTTGACAGGCCGCCCTAGCATAAAAAAACATCGACTGCCCCCTCACCCTGCCGCTACACAGCCGAGGCGGGCGGCGTAGCGTTAAAATTATAAGGACCCCAAAATAAGGTACCCCTCATTTCGGAAACTCCCATTTAGGCTTCTAGAATTATGCTGCTGACTGCTGAAGCTCCTAAGCTAAACAGCCTTCGACTGGTGGAGATCGAAGTTCCGCGAGAACCCGGCCCCGGTCCCTGATAAGAAGAAGAAGCACAGGGCCGTTTCCCAAAAGCTCCAGATACCTATGTTACAGTATATTTTGGCCTGCAAGGTATTTCTCTATGTGGGCTTCTGGGCCACAGTCAAAAGTCGAGAGATCAAGAAGAGGCAGTTGCATGGGGGGGGGGTAAGCTAATAGTAGCATATTAAGCTTGCACTGCTACTGGCACCAAGACTTTTCCCCGAGCCCTGTGGTACATTGCGGGTTCTTCTGCTCAAGGCCCCTAAACCCTAAACCTTAAACCCAGAACCCGAACATAAACACTAAACCCCAAGTCAAACCGTCCAAAACCCCCCCAAAAAAAAACGCGACACTCTAAACCCCAAACCCAAAACCTTAGCCCCAAACCCGAAATCCCTAAACTCTTGAAACACACAAACCTGGAACCCCCCCGGCACGGTGTTTGAAAATCTGACAGCCAACCCTTCCACTGCCATCCGAGCTGCCAGATCGCCTCAGCATGGTTCCGCTTAGGGCTTTAGGGTTTAGGGTGCTTCCAGATCGGCCGTAGCATGGCTCTGCTTAGTTTGAAGATTCAGGGTTTGGTGACCTTACTTATTCGCCTCGGCCCCGGCCGAATCGGTCAGAGGCTCCTCAGTGACGCCACCGCTGCCCACCCCCACCCCGCCGCCCCCCACCCCCCCCTAAAAAATGGAAACCCGTCGATGAGCCCCAAGGTCTGGCGGTGAATTCTCGCCTCCTCCGGCCTTGAGACTATTAGGGTTTATTAACCCTAATAGGGTTTAGGGTTTAGGGTTTAGGGCTACAGTAATCCCCATAAAGTTGGAAACCGGATTAAGGCCAAATAGTGCTGGGGTTCCCTTTCCAACTTTGAGGCTTCCGCTGTATTAGGGTTTAGGGTCTAGGGTTTAGGGCTTAGGGTTTAGGGTTTAGGGTTTAGGGTTTAGGGTTTAGGGTTTAGGGCTAGGAGCTTTGGGTTTGAGTCCTTGGGGCTTACCGCTTTGGGTCCGGGTGTCGGATTTCAGTGCGGCTTTGTTCTGTCTGGGATGTCGGGGCTGGCTGACTTTACGGTTTAGGGTTTAGGGTTCAGGGCCCAAAGCCTATAACCCTACACCATCAAACCCCAAACATAGACCCCCAAAGGTCCATGTCATAGTACATACCTTGACCCCAAACTACTAAAAGGGACTACTTCAAAGTTTGTACTGTTTGGGCACATGGACCAACTGGACTTTGAAGTAGCCAGGGAGGAAAAGTGCAGACTTGGGTTTCATAACGTTTCCGTTAGGGCCAGGTCAAAAAAAAACACTCAAATATGGTACTCCAAAACCCACCCTATGGCTCCTGGACCCTAAGGAGCCTTAGGGCAGACCAAAAAAAACTCCCGAGGTCTTGGCCGTCTCCGTCCCAGTCGACTGCCGTGGGTGCGCCGTAGTTTCCGTCCCAGCCTGCTTCAAAACATCTGAAGATCCACTGTGTTTGAAGGGCTCTGCCGAGCTCTACGTACATATATGTATATATACAGATAGAGAGAGAGAGAGAGAGAGAGAGAGAGAGAGAGAGAGAGAGAGAGAGAGAGAGAGAGAGAGAGAGAGAGAGAGAGAGGGAGAGAGAGGGAGAGATGCAGGCAAAATATTTGCTTTATTTGAGAGGTCAGTTTTTGGGGTTTGAGATTTGCCCACGGGCTCTCAGGATTCATGTTATGCCACTTTTGAGCCTGCTGGCTTGAAACAAAAAACCGTAAGCCTGAAAACCCCTAAACCCCATACCTTAAAGGCTAAACGCTAAACCCTAATCCCAAAAGGCTGAAACTGAAAGACACCGAAACCGGAAGCCTTCGACATTGTAGGACAGAGCGGCATTTTAACCTAGGGTTTACTTCTAAACGGAGTTACCCCAATTATAACCCTACTTATAACCTACTTACTAAGTCCCCTGCCCTTCCAAGTAGGGCTTATCGGCTTTAGGGCTGGAGGTTTAGGGTCTAGGGTCCGATCTTGGGAAGTGCCCTACCCTGAACCCTATAAACCCTATAAGCCCTAAACCCTATAAGCCCTATAAGCCCTAAACCCTATAAGCCCTATAAGCCCTAAACCCTAAACCCTATAAACCCTATAACCCCTAAACCCTATAAACCCTAAACCCTCTAAGCCCAATAAGCTCTATACCGTTGAGGACGGGACCTCGGGCATTGTCGATGAAGTGGGACTTGACCTCAAGCAGCTCTGAGGGCTCTGAGTTTTGCAGGTCGGTCTCTTAGGGGGTTTAGGGTATTAAGGATCTACAAGGATTCCTTTGAAGGGATCTATAAGGGATCTATAAAGGGTTTAGGGGTTTACTGAGGGCTCCGTAGGGGTTCCTTTACAGGGTTACTAGAAGGGTACTAATAAGGGCTCTATAAAGGGTTGAGGGTTACTATAAGGGATCTATAATTTAGGGTCCAGGTTTCAGGGCTGTGAGTTTTGCAGGTCGGTTTGGGTTTAGGGGTTTGGGGTTTTGGTGTTCAGGGGTGTAGGGTCCTTTTTTGAGGAGGGTCACAGAATCAAAACCCGAATGCATTGAATAGCTGCATGAGGGCATACTACAGTACTAGGGTTTGGGAGTAATTTAGGGTTTAGGGTTTAGGGGTAGTTTTAGGTTTAGGGTTTAGGGGTAGTTTGGCCACCAGTGCCTTCTGAGCTCTTAGGCCCATTGCACCAGCATGGCTGGTAGTCTCCAGCTACTGGTGCTGTAGGCCACCAGACTTGGTTAGTGGTTCACTAGTCTGGTCACTCAGGGACACTGGTTGAAGCAGGTCGGCTCAGGACATCTGCCCTTAACCGCAGATTGTTTGCCGGCACCTGCGTGCTGAGAGGTGGCATCACGCTCAGAGGCTGGCGCTCAGGCCAGATTCTTACACGGTCTATTTGTGCGCCTGTGCGCCGCAACACAAAGCGCACCAGGTCAGGCAGACCGCATGAACCAGGGATGGCTACCTTGTGCCATGTCGCCTTACCTTCTGACAGCGACAGCCAGAAGACAACAAGCTTCCTTTAAAAGGGGGCTATAAGGGATAGTCAGTATAAGGGCATCATAATATAGGGGCCTTAACAAGTACAATCGGGTTTTAGGAGCATAGAAGACTAGGGGCCTTAATAATTAGAATCGGGTTCTTTTCTAAGGCGGAGTCTATAAGGCCTACCCTATAAGGGCTATGATCGGTATTTACGGTGCCTTAACAAGTAGAATAGCGTTTTGGGGCATATTATACTATAACTATAATAAGGACCCCCCCCAAAAAAGTATTATTAATTACTTAGGCTCCTACATATTGGCCGAAGCAATATCGCCGTCTGGGCGACGTAGGAGGTACTGACCCAAAGAGCACCACACACCTTGTGCAACATATCTTGCAAACAGTGGAGCACTGCAAATTCCAGGTAGGGCATTGGGCTCTCCGGGCGCAACTGTAGAGAGTTGCACATGTACGGCCGAGTGACTGGATCCGACATTCAGACTGACCCAACCTTCCTTAAGGACGAAACACATGAAAGACAACTAACCCTATCCTTCCAAGCACCCCATAGTTCGGGCCCTAGGCCCCTTGAAGGAACCCTTATATAGATCCCTTAAAGGAACCCTTATATAGACCCCTTGAAGGAGCCCTTAAGGACCCAATAATAAGGCCGCTGGAGGCATAGAGTAACAGCAATGTCCCGTTCTGCTCGTCTTTTGAACCATGGCTCCGAAACTCCTGTTTAGGGCTTCGGGCTTAGGGTTTAGGGGTTTCGGGCTTAGGGTTTAGGGTTTCGGGCTTAGGGTTTAGGGGTTAGGGGCTTGGGGGTTTAGGGTCTAGGGTTTAGGATTTAGGGTTTAGGGTTTAGGATTTAGGGTTTAGGGTTTAGGGTTTAGGGTTTCCTCAACCCTCAGAGCCTAACCATAGATCCCAAACCGAACCGAATCCCTGCACCCTGAACAGTAAACCTTGGAAACCTAAACCCTGAACCCTTGCGGGTGAGAGACAGAGAAGGTATCTTAGACTCTAGGCCAGGAGTGGATGCTATATGGGAGTTTCCGCAAATAGGGGACCCTAATATGGTACCCTAAATAGTAGGATCCTTATTATAAGGACCCCGGATAAGGTACCCCTTCCTTTTCGGAAACTCCCATATGAAATTGTTCAAACATCGAACTTATTCAGACCTCTCCGTTACCATAGCCAGGAGGTCGCACCAGGACACTTCTTTGCAGAAGTTACAAAACCTCAACTTGCTGTTCTGGCCACGGCTGCCGTGGTCTTCAGCCGGGCTTTGCCAAGGGCCGGTGGGTGGCATGGGCGGAAACGGGGGAGGGGCTGGAACTCCTGCATTAGATGCAGGGTCTGGCACTGGCGGTGCAGGCGGATGCGTCTGCTGGCCGGGCGTCTGCAAGGCCTCCACGGCCGAGCTCAACCTGTTCACAGCCTGGAGGATATCACCACTGTTGCTTGCAGCGGCACCCATGATCGCGAGGGAAATGCAGGTGGGCCCTCGACACTTGCAACCTGTCCCTGCCATGTCCGAATCCCTCAACTTTTAACTCTAACCCGTAATACTTTGAAACGAAACTCTGCGTGTTCCTGAATTCTAAACCCTAAGCCGTGCAAAGAACACTTCGACATCTGCAAACCGAAAAGACACGCTGTTAAAGCCCAACTACAAGCCCTCAAGCCCTGAACTCGAAAGCGAGGTGGAGCAAGAAACCGTTAACACCAAACTCCTGCAAACAATAACCCTCAAACCATGAAACAACTTGCAAACACCTCACCCTGTCCAAACATAGCAGGAAAAAACCCACTGTCTAAATCCCACCGGCCGACCCTAAAATGCAGAAACCTATTCTCGCAACCGAGGGCACCCGTATATGGTACCCTATAGATAGTAGGATCCTTGTTACAAGGACCCCAAAATAAGGTACCCCCAATTTTCGGAAGCTCCCATATTCGCAACCGAGGTGCTGCAAGAAAAGGATTGGCTTGACCAGCTCGGAGCACTAAGTTGCCGTTGATCTGCTCCCAATAGGCCACGCCACTGGCGGGGGAAGAGAGTGTTTGAGTTTCTCACAGTGTAGAGGTTTAGGGTTTAGGGTTTATGGAGTTTTTGTGTGAACCGGAGAGATCGGGCGAGGGGACTGCATCACAGCGGGCTGCTTCAACTCTCAGACTGTTAATCAAACAGGACAAGGAGGGACCCTTAATGGGGACCCCTACCCTACAATGGGCTATGTACTGGGTATATAATAGCTATATTAAGGGTATATACCCTAGGGCCCTTATTAAGGGTCCCTCCTTTTCCCCTTTGAGTTAAGAACGAACCCAGCGTTCGAAGCTAGTCCATCCAGACTTTCAACGATGTTGAGCCGTTCATAGGGCCCCAAAGAAGTACATAAGCAAAAAGTAGGATAGGGATATCCCATATAATAAACCCCCTTATAATGAAGCCCAATAAGATAGGGGATATCCCTATAAAATGCTTATACTTATGTGCTTGTTGGGTCTAAACCCTAAACCCTAAACCCTAAACCCTAAACCCTAAGTTCAAGGAAGTCTCAAGGTTTCCAACGGCGGTGGCAACACGAAGACCAAGGAGGTCAGCAGACCTGTACTTACTGGATCATGGGACTTAGTAAAGAGGGTTCCTTAAAGGGCTCCTTAAAGGGATCTATAGGGATACTACAAGGGTTTAGGGTCTACTTAAAGGATCCTGGGACTTAGTAAGTAGGTTATATTTGGGGTTATAAGTCCCCTAAGTGGGGTTATCCTAATGATAACCTATTTATAACCTTACTTACTAAGTCCCATGAGCCTTTAAGTAGTCAGCGAGGTTACCTAGCAGGTTCATCAACTCTCCAGAGTCAACTGCAGACTCAGCCGTCCCTGCCACGGATGCCAGCCGGGCTCCTCAAACAACACCGCTTGCGCAACACTGCTGAGTTTGAAGTCAACGAGACCTTGAGCGTGATGAGGTAGACCACTGACTCGATCTGGCTTGTACCACTTGCGCAAGAGGAATCCTGATCATGATTTGAGAAACTATCCCCCCCCAAGAACAATACCCGGGGGTTATGAACTAGGGCTGGATTATATAAGCCACAAAAGAGTTGTAGTTTACTTGTAAGCAAGAGCCGTCAGTCCTTCAAACTGAAGACCCTCACCACGAATACCTACACCTTTCCCTAACAGCCAAACTCCAAAACTCGACACTTTAAACCCTGAACCCTCTAAACCGTAAACCCTGAACCTTTAACCCTAAACCCTAGCCCGAAAACCTGAACACAAAGCCTAAACCCGAAACTCCGACCACCAGACCGTAAGCCCTAAACCTTAAACACTAAGCCCCAAGAGGCTTAGCCGCCCCCCTCGCCGTTTTGGGCCTTGTTGGGCCCCTCCTTCCTGGGCGGCCTGCTGGCCTGGCCCTGCCCCCTGCCCTCCCCTCTTGCCCCTGCCCAGGGGATTAGGGTTTAGGGCTTTAGGGGCTTAGGGTTTAGGGTTTTAGGGGTTAGGGCTATAGGGGTTAGGGCTTTAGGGTCGTGGGGTTCTGCCCTCCCTGCCGGGCCCTTCCCTGCGCTTGGAAGAAATAGTGGTTTGACCGCCTTAGACGGCGTTGGGTGGGAGAGTTAACAGAACGAGCCATCCACAATCAGGCTCCAACGGCCAATCGTCATACTTACTACGATGCACTATACTCTAAAGCCCTAAACCTCAAAACCCTAAGCCGTAAACCCCTAAACCAGAAAGTCTCCCAGAGCATGTGGGGTTTGCCTGCCACTTGGCGCGATCAAGTCGAGGTCGCCGTCACCATCCCAATCCTTTGAGGGGTTCCTTTAAGGGATTCCTTTGAGGGTTCTCTTAAGGGTCCCCTTAAGGGTTCCTTTAAGGGTTCCTGTAAGGGTTGCTTTCAAGGTGCCTGTCAGGGTTCCTATACCGGTTCGTTCAAGGGTTCCTTTACGGGTTCCTATAGGGGTGCCTTATAAGGTTTAGGGCTTAGCGTTTTGGAGAGTTTACGGTGCAGGAGGGTGTTAGGCATAAGTTAGTTTAGGCTTCGAACAGGCTTTGCCGATCCCAATCCTTTCGTTTCGGGTTTGTAGAGGTAAAAGGCTTCAGAGTGCTTTCTTGTTTTTAAGTGTGTCTCTTTTTATAAGGGCTTCAGAGTGTAGGAGTTTAGGCTTTGGGTTTAGGGCTTCTGTTTTAAGGATTAGGAGTTTAGGGTTCGTTGCGTGGACACGGGCTTGGTGCTTTAAGGCTTGAGGGCTTCGGCGCCCGAGGTTTTAAGTCTAGTGGTCTTCAGAGTTTTGAGCTCGGCTCTAGGTTCTGAGGGCTTATCCACGTTTTTCCTTGTCGCCCGTCCAGAAGGTGCCCATATGTGTACTTGCATCGCGGCTTTTGGGGGGATTAGGATGATTAGGGTTTCTCACGGTTGGGGTAAGGGCTATAGGGCTGCGTGGAGATCTCCAGGCTTTAAGCTTGGGAAACCCATGGTTGAACACTTGCACATTCTGGACGGCGGGTAGGCTAGGACTAGGAAACCTTGAATACGGCTTGATACAAGTAAGGGCTTGATACCTGTCCGCTAGAAAGTTTGTTGCAATTCCGCACAGGGGTATGTAACATAAGCTTGGCTCACAAGCCCTCAGGGTCCATATACCCAAATAGTAGATACTTTGGCCTTAGAATAGTCCCTATGTAGGTACTTTGGGGCCTAAGTACAAACTATTTGGGTACATGGACCCTTATACCCTAAACCCTCAACCCTATAGGGACCCCTTAAAGGAACCCTTTCAAAGAATCCCTTACAAGAACCCCCTTAGGGAAACCCAACATCGTCTCGTGTATGCCCAAGGCTCGACAATGCTGACGCGGGCGAAGGTCCAACCTGCTACCCGCAGGGCGGGTTTAGGGTTTAGGGTTTAGGGTTTAGGGTTTAGGGTTTAGGGTTTAGGGTTTAGGGTTTAGGGTTTAGGGTTTAGGGTTTAGGGTTTAGGGGCTGGATCTGAAGGGGACTCTGAGGCTTAAGGTTTAGGGGCTTACCCAGGGGCCCCAAAGTAGTTCCTTGTTGGAGTTACCCTATATAGGATTCTATATATGAACCCCAAAAAGGAACTACTTTGGGGCCTTTGGGTAAGGTTTAGGGGTTGAGGGTTTAAGGGTTTAAGGGTTTATAAGGGTTTAAGGGTTTAGGGTTTAGGGTTTAGGGGTTTAGGGTCTGATGATGACTAGGATGGATCTGAAGGGGACGCTGGGTTCCCAGAGACTCCAATATCCCTTAATTAAGGAATATTCCTTAAATCATACTAGGGATCCTACTATAATTGAAGGTATATTCCTTCATTAATTCCCTTATAGAACCCTTATAGATCCCTTTAAGGAACTGTTAGGTATATTCCTCAATTAAGGGGTTTGGGAGTCTCTGGGTTGTTAGGGGACGAAGGATCTCTAGGACCCAAGTTCTTCTGAGTCTTCCTCCCTCTACCTTAAGGACGAAATGAACCCTAAAAGGGTTTAAGGTTCATATACCATATAGGGATTCATAGTATATGGGTATAAGGCCCCTACTTTTAAGACTCATTTGGTCCTTCAGGTATTCGCAAGTCGTAACCGGACGCTCCGGGTATTGGGGTTTCAGGGGCGAAGCTTAGGGTATATAGGCTGGAATACTGTAGCTAGGATGCCCAGTAACCTAGGGATAAACAAGTACCTTTATAAGGAGCCTAGGACTACAAAAAGGGAATAGGGGTACTACAGGGCATCCTAGTGGGTAGTTAGGTGTTAAGTGTAAGGTTTAGGGGGCTCAGTGTTTAGGGATTTAAGGTTTTACGGTTTAGGGATGTAGGGTTTAGAGGTTTCGGGCTTCGGGATGAAACTTGCGAAAAGGTTCCTGTAAGGCTTGCCATTAAGGGGCTCTAGATGGGATGCTCTAGGGGCTACTATAAGGGTTGAGTACGTATCAAGGCAAAGCCGGAAGAAACAGCCTGCCTGCCGAAGCTGCCGGCCCAACGGATTCAAAATGAAGCCCCTGAAAGCTGAAACCCTAAACGTTTTAGGGTTTAGGGTTGGGGTGTAAGGCTTAGCCTGACCCTCAACCTTAACCCTAACCTGAAGCCAAAACCTCGAACCCTAAACATTCAGTGTCGCGCCTAAATGGATGTCGTGGAAAGGGTTCTTTTCACCGACCACCTGCCAAACAAGCGGCTTTGAGCTTTCGGGGCAACTTATAAAGTATCGTGGGACTTAGTAATTGGGGTTATAAGTAAGGTAACTACAGTTATAGCGACATATAGAACTTTAATTGAAGTACTCATAACCCTATTTAGTAAGTCCCATAATCCTCTAAAGAGCGGGATCTAAGAAACTCGCTTGCTTACCTGCGCTAAGGGCCCATGTGCCCAAATACTGTGTACTTGCGCCCTGAAGTAATCCCGATATAGGCGCATGGGGGCCACAGTATATGCTGTTCGGGTACATGGACCTTTCGGGCTGTCGTCCGAGCAACCTACCTTTTGAAGGAGTCATATATCGAAGCCATAGCAAGGAGCCCTTAGACGGCAGGCTTTTCGGCCACAGGTAACTACCAAAGTGTACCTGTTGGTAGAGTACATATAAGTTCAAGATTCAGGCCTATACCAATGGTAGGGTCTAAGGTTTAGGGATCAAGCCTATCTCGGATTTGGGGTCGAGGGTTTAGTTTCGAGCAAACCCTCGTAGCCCCCATACAGCACACCTGTGACTTTAGATGTACTCCTTAATTCTAGGTTACGGAATCTCTGCCGATAATATTGTGGGACATAGCAAACGCACAAAGCTCTCCCACTCCCAGCCCATTTACCCTAAGGCTCCAAAAGATTTACTGGTTGCGCCTCCTATCCTAAGAAGGGCTCGTTGGGACAATGTAGGGGCCGTAATAATTTGGTTTGCGGGGTATAGTCTCGTATCATTATAGTACTGAAACGTGTAATATGGGTGGATGTCAAAATGAGCGTCCCTTGCTGGGTCCCTATGATAATACGGCATCTAATATTTAGGGCACCCAAAAAAGGATCATAATTTTGACTACTTCCCATATCGATAATTCACCCTTCTATGTTGCTTTGAGCCTTGCGGTACAAGCTCCTGACTGAGCCCTCGAAAATACACGATCTCACTCTGTTTCAGGGTAGGATCTGTCTCCTACTTACTTGGAGGATCATGGGACTTAGTAAGTAGGGTTACAAGTATCTTGATTCGGGTTACAAGCAGTTAATGACCTCAATTACTAAGTCCCATGACCCTTTAAGTAAATCCTCGGGGTCTGCACTCTGGAGCTGCTTTAAATTTGTGCTTAACGAACTTCTTCTTTTGAGGGTGGGGGATGAGAGATGTCTTAGGATTGGTAAACTAATTTTGCCATCTTGGCTAGGTGGGCTTACCTTCAGACCATAATTAACCCTAAACCCTTCCCGTAACAAATGCACCTTTAACCCAATAATGGCACACTAGCTGCCTAATTAAACCCATGAACCCCCAAACACAACACCCAAAACTCCAACATAAACCAAACTCCCAAACATCAGGCAACACCCACCAGACCTGAACCTTGACCGCTAACGCGACCCCTAAAGTGAGGACAGGAACCCCTTAAAGGACCCTTTGAAAGGAACCCTTCGTTTATAGGTTGTACGGTTCTGGGTTTACGATTTAGGGCTTAGGGTTCTGAGTTTAGTGTTTAGGGTTTTGGGCTTCAGGGCCTTAGGGCCCCTCAACAAAAATCCAGGCCCGAAGCCTCTTCGAGCTGGTTGGTCATGTTCTGCTTGAAGAACCGGATCCGACCTCTCGTGGCTGCCCCAAACCCAGGACGAGGGATTAGGGATTAGATATTTTGGTTGTAAGGGTCTAGGATTTATAGGGATTAGGGATTAGGGCTGAGCCGTCAGGGTTCGGGTTTAGGGATTAGGGCTGAGCGATCAGGGTTTAGGGATTAGGGTCTAGCGGTCAGAACTTAGGAATTGGGTTCAGCGATTAGGTCAGGGTTTGGGGATTAGGGTTTAGATGTCAAGAATTAGGATTCAACAGTCAGGATGTAGGGTCCAGGCTTCGGGCTCGTTTCTAGTCTTGTAGGAATTGACTGAACCCAAAACCGCCAAAACCCAAACGCCCTAGCCGCACGCTTGGGTAATCTGCAAGATGGCAGACCGGGCAAGTGCTCGGGGCCAGGGCGCAAAATGGTAGGAGCCATCATAAGCAGAGTCATCCGTCCTTCGAGATGCTCAAGTGGCGCGAGCACCATGCGAACCAGCTTTGCCACAAGGCTTTCCAACTGGGCAAGTCGCTCCTGTTCAGCGCACAAATGCACTGAAAAGGGTATATCCTTCCATGAGCTTAACTCAGGCAGCGGACTCGGTAGAACTACCAGATGCAGCAGCGGAAGCAGATGCCAACAGACGCACAACATGCAGCAGCTAGGTTTCAGTACAACAACACCAGACGTCACCACCTGTGCCGCTTGCCGAAAACCTCAACCCCGAACCCCAGCCGAAAGCCTCAACCCTGAACCCCACCTAGACTCAGATCCTGACCTGAGTTTTAGGGTTTCGGGGTTTATGGTCAAAGGGATGTAAGTTTAAGGTTTAGGAATTTAGGGTGTAGGGTCGCGGTGCATGTGTGGTACACCCCCACACTCCATCATTCCAAAACCAGCAACTGCAAGAAACCAACTTTATGCCTGAACCCTGCAATCTAAACCAACTGCTCTAACCCCAAGCCCGGTATAAGCCCCGAAACGACAAATCCTACTGAAAGTAAACCCTCGCTCACCCATTGAACTCTAAGCCTTAAACTCTAACCCAACACCCTGGCGCCCAAACCGCTGATGACTCCCTTCGGCCTCCGGCGACTAAGATGAAATCCTGACACAGGGACATGGCGGCTACAGAAAAAAAGGGCTCAAGGTTGAAGGTTTAGGGTTTAAATCGGCTAACGTCCTCTATTCTCGGAAACACTTGTATGGAAGTTGCGCCGGCAGCCGCCAATGGATTATTGTAGCGGCTTGTAGCGACCTTGACCATTGGAATCGGGTTTTGGGATATGGCATTGTAGAAGGACTATGAGGGAATGCGTTTAGTTATTGTTCAGACCCCTGCAGTATTCAGATACGGAGGTGAATCGGTGGCGAAACGGTGACAACCACACGAGTTATGTAACAACAAAGCCTATCACCTTGGTAGTCTTCCTTCATAACTCCATTCCCAAATCCAAAGAACCACGACCTGCCAAGACAAAATCCACTGCAGCTCTGCCAAAACCCTATACACAATAAACCCTGAACTCAAACAAGGCCTAAATCCGAGCGATATAATAAAAGCACCAAACCCAGCCCCGGATCATGATTCCTACTTGAAGGATCATGGCCATGGGACTTAGTAATTGGGGCTATAAACAAGGTAACTACACGTATAACTACTTATAACCCCAATTAAGGTACTTGTAACCCTACTTATAAGTCCCATGATCCTCCAAGTACATCACGTAAACACAAAACCGTGATTTCACTGTCCCAAGCACCCAGACCCTCGAAAAGGACCTGGAAAGTAGATCCCCTAATTTGGGGCGCTATACTACTAAGGGTACTTTATAGGAACCCCTGTTAAGGGATCTACTTTTTGGATCCTCCCGGGGGTCTGGGCACGAGCGCAATCATTGCTGATTGCCTTGCCTTCTTCCCATCCATGTCCCAGTCTACAACGACTGGTGTGGCCGCAGAGTATCCTCGGTGCACAGCTGTGAATGTTTACGGCTTAGTTTGGGGTTCAGGATGGCTTAGGGCTTAGGGTTTACTCGGCTTATAGGTATAGTGAGCACTTTCCAGGCTGTATCTAAAGGACTATCGTTCTATAGTTTCTAACTTCATAGTATCCGAAGCCAGCTCGACCCGACCTAGGCATCAGGGGATCCCAATCATCTGTGCCCTAGCGTTCTGCCAACACGTGTCCTTTCAGAAGCGTCTGATCCCACCCGACGCCTGCGCTCTCGTGCCGAGCACTCTGGCGCTTAGCCAGCGAGTCAGTTCTGCGGTGTAAGAGTTCGCCGAACTGCTTCAAGACGCAAGCGCAATCTGACCGTATGTTCAGAAGGTTTTGAATTGTGATGCCAAGTTTCCTGCGGCTGTGTCCCGGCTGAAATTTGCAAAAAACGGCTCGCGCTGGCAAGTTAACCCGTGGATAAACATCGCAAGCTGGCCTGCACTTCTCGCTGGAGCACTTGCTGAGACAGAGGCCGACGCCATGCCGTGTTTCAATGCACATCAGAAAAGCTCCGGCGGTCCACGGAGTCTATGCTGTCCGCCACTTCTAAGTGGGACTGTTGGAATGCCCTGGCATGGCAAAACTCACAAATCCACAATTCTTGCGTGTCTGTTCCACCGGGTGCAAAAGGCGATGGCAAGCGGCAAACTCGTGCAAAGTGTCAGGGGCATTCGGATGCGAGGGTAATGTAGGGGCCTTGTTAATTAGGCTGGGGCTTTGGGGGTTCCATATTAATACTTATAGTATAGTATACCCCTAAAGCCCTATACTAACTATTAAGGCCCCTACCCCTACATTAACTCTCGAAAATAGCACTTATAGTAACCCTTATCGACCCCTTTAAGGGAACCCTGGTCTAATTATAAAGGCCCCAGCATTATGCTTGACTTGGGGCTTCCACACTCACGGTCTGCCAGCTGGCCGGGACAGCCCCGGGGAAGGCGGTTACTCCACTTAAACCAGCCCAGACGAACCCTAAGCCCTACTTAAAGGACCATGGGACTTAGTAAGTAGGGTTATAGGTAAGGTAACTACAGTTGTAATTCCTTATAACCCCAATTAAGGTACTGAAACCCCTACTTACTAAACCCTGGGCCCTGAACCAAGCCTGTTCCGCTTCTGTTTTTGCTTTTTGGGGGAGGGTGGGGGGGCTGCAAAGGGGAAGGGAGGCGGACAGCCCGGACAGCAAGCCCTGACAACAGCAGCAGCTTAAAACTTAAGCAGACCATGGAATACACCATGCAAAAAAATATCCTTCATATAGCTATTATATACCCATTATATAGCCCACTATAGGGCAGGGGTCCCCATCAAGGGTCCCTCCTCTTACTTAAAAAGTCCATCAAGCTCGACAGAGCTGCCTTGAAGACGAACACGTCGCAGTAAAAACTCAGACTTAACATCATCGCCCGGAACCTCGAACCCTGGTTGGGCTTCAGGGTTCAACCCTACTTGGAGGGGCAGGGGACTTAGTAAGTAGGGTTATAAGTAGGGTTTCAATTGGGGGAACTCCATTTAGAGTACTTCTAACTCTACTTGTAGCCTACTTACTAAGTCCCCTGTCCCTCCAAGTAGAATATAAACTCCCCCACACCTACCTGTTTAAGGCTCCGTATTATGATTTCTTTGCACAAATCCTTGCAAATGCCGGTTGGGGGGTTCAGGTTGACCCGGATCCCTCAACAGGTCTAGGCTTACTTAGAGGATCATGGGACTTAGTAAGTAGGGTTATAGGTAAGGTAACTACAGTTGTAATTACTTATAACCCCAATTAACGTACTTATAACCCTACTTACTAAGTCCCATGATCCTCCAAGTAGGGGGACTTCAATCAATACTGAACCCATTGCACTCTCAAGCCCTCAACCCTAAGCACGGAACGTTTGGGTTTAGGTTTTGAGGCTCTACTACCAAGACTCGTAAATCCTAAGCACTCTGATCCCTCACACCCTAAATGCCTGCACCCCGTAGAGCCACCGTCGAGCCAATTCCACCAAGGTGCCGAGCTCCGGATCGGGTTCGATTATCTCAGCCACGCCTCAGAGATTCTTCAAAACAAGGGGCCCTCAAGCTCAATATCGCGCCCCAAAAAAAAATTACAACAAGCTCCATACAGGCACTGCGTACAAATTTCTTCTACGGTTTCTATCATTACGGTACCCAGAGGCTCCATAGTAGTTCCTTTTTGGGATTACCTTTTAGGGTTCTCAATATGAGCCCCCTAAAACAGGAACTACTATGGAGCCTCTGGGGACTGCCTGGGTCTTGCCGGGCTCAGAGGCCTTGATGATTAGACCAGGGCCTTCCGTACGTTATTGAGGTTTAGGGTTTAGGGTTTAGGGTTTAGGGTTTACTATATGTATTTCCTTAAATAGGCCTTATTAGTCCATATTAGTCCTTATTATGGGCCTTAAGGCCCCCTACCCCCCCGTCCCCCTACACCCCTAAGGATCCCTATGAGTTATTGAGCCACTGTACTAGCCCTAAGGTCCATGTACCCAAATAGTATATACATTGGCCCAAATGTACCTATATAGGGACTACTTTAAGGCCAATGCATATACTATTTAGGTACATAGACCCCTAGGGTAGGGATATTAAGCTTTGTACACCTCTTAGTGCGGTTTTCAGTGTCATAAAAGGAGTAACCAATACCAAGCTTTTCCTGACGCATAACCCTAGACCCTGGTCGCCCTAGCGCCGCAAACCTTAGAAGCTGCCCCCATCCTGTAATAGTGGTATAAAAGGAATATAAAAGGGCCCTATGATAATCCTTATAGTCACTATTACAGGGTGGGGGCAGCTTCTATATAACCTAAACAACTAAACCCTCAACATAACGTTGCCAGGAGAATTGGAAGCTTCAGCGAACCGTCCATGGAGATACTGAACCTTCACACCCTTGAAAATAGGTGCCTTCGTGATGCAGATAACCCCAAGGGTCCAAAGGACCCAATAATTAGGTACTCGGCTTTAGGATAGTAGTTATGTAGGTTTAGGATTTTGGAGAGTATATGACTATTGGGTACTTGGACCCTTGGGGTAAGATTCTGGTGGCATGTTTTTTTTTCAGACTGATTCGTTGGTGACGATTCAGGCCCTAGTTGACCTCAAAGGGGTTTAGGTTTTAGGGTTTAGAGGGTTTAGGGTTTAGGGTTTAGGGCTGTGCTTGCAAATCGTGAGGTAGCACCTTTGAAGAATTTCGAACCACTTGCAGTCTCAACACGTTTCATCGCATTTTAGAACAGTGAAACAAAACACCCCTCACCCTAAACCCTGGGAGGGCGATTCTAAACCCTAAACCCCCTGAACCCTAAACCCTAAATCCGAAACCCTAAACCTCTAAACCCTAAATCCCTGAACCCTAAACCCCGAATCCGAAACCCTGAACCTCTAAACCCGAAATCCCTACACCACTTCGCTTGCTGGCTCAGGGGCTGAAAGGATTTGCTGCACCGCTCTGATAGTAGAGCCTGTTGTCCTGTCGCTCTCTTGGGTTTTACCCAAAGGGTCCTAGGTATTGTTATGGGGAATACCTCCCCAAATCAATCTTCCTAATATAGAAACCCTACATTCTACTATTTGGGTACTTTGGACCCTTTGGGTTTTAGGAAGGTTTTACGGTTTAAGGGCTTTTCGGGTTTAGGGTTCAGGAACCATAAGCTCTATGAGCCGTAAGCCCTCAACTCAAAAATGATAGGCTGGTCAGTCGGTAGGATTCTCCACGTCTCTAATGCAGGAACCTGATTAAGAAACACTGGGACTATAACCCCAAAATAGTAGGATTCACATAAGGAACCCTACTACAGGCCGAAGGTTTCTGAATCAGGTTCCTATATTAAGGTTCGTGGATTAGAGCCCGGAAGACCTCGACGTAAGCCAAAACAACCCATCTTCAGCACTTGTTTCGGAGAAGAAGGGTAAGGGCTATTCCACAAAACCCGAACTGTGAGTTCTGGGCCCCTGCATCTGTCACGTCTGCATCCAAAGGGTAGTTTGGACACATTTTCACAGGCTACGAATACCAACCTAAACTAAGTAGCAGAGTAACGATTGAAGGTCTGGCACAATATCATTATATTGGGACCTTGTATTACACTGAGGCTGCTGACTGCCAGCATTCTGGACAACGCAGAGCTCTTTCAGGCGTTCCAGATACGTCAGGAATAGAAGACGAAAGCCATTGATAGCAGAGGTGAAAATGCGGGATCGGACAGACCACTGGTGTCTGGGATGCGGGACGTATGTGGCATCCTCGTTGCTCCCGATTCCCTCAACGGGCATGCCCAGGACCACATGGGCCTTGACCCGTTTCGGAATGTGGTGCTGGTGCGTAGCCTCCTCGGAATCCTTCGCATCTGCCGCAACTGACAATCGCAGTGGATGTCATGACAGGCGTGAGTCGCTAGCTGGGCGCCCGGAAGGCCTCCCAGTTCCAGAGTGCAATTCTTAAAGGGTCATGTGACTTAATAACTGGGGTTATAAGTAAGGTAAGTACAGTTATATTTACGTATAACCCCAACTGAGGTACTTATAACCCGACTTACTAAGTCCCATGATCCTCCAAGTACACTACCATTATTGAAGTAGGTCGGATGGGCGGGGGAACTTCTGTGCATGACTGAAACTTCGTATTACTGGATTGTAGTGTTGGGGCTCTGGAAATTTTAAAATTAGGTACCTCTATAGGAACCATAAGGGAAATTAAACAGTTTCCCAAATTGCCACCTAGATTACGACATAGCCTCTGGTGGTGGTGTTGCAATCGGCGACGGTTTAGGGTTTAGGGACAGAAGGCAGTTTAAGATCGAGGGCTTAATACATTGAGCGGGCTTTTGAGGGCATAGTGTGGTATGTATCATTATCTGGAAATTGAAGTAAAAAGAGAGAAATAGGTCTAGACTTTTTATCACCTTTGTCTCAATATAGGTTTGTTTTAATTCCGGAACAGGTTTGATAAAAATCTTCAAGTACGGTATTTCAGGATACGGAGTTTTGAGGAATAACGCTGGTAAGTCTTCTCACTTCTATATGCAACCCTAGACACTTAACTACCCCTGGAACCCACATAGTACCTCCAAGCTGACCCAAACTCCAAAACCCAAAAAGAACCTTGAAAGACTGATTTGATAAGGTGTCTTTCGAAGGCTTGGGGCGCCGTCCTTCGGACTCTTTATCCAGAACCTCACTGTGCCATCCTCAGTAGACGTATAGCTCGGCTCTTGGTATAAGTTTAGGGAGAGGTGTCGTCCATATTGATCTAATCTAGATATGACCACCGTTGGTGTTTAGTTCATCATCCCCATCATCTTCACTGCCTCCTCCCATTTAGGGTTTCTCCTTCTCCTTCTTCTTCTAGGGCTCCTGACCCTGCTCGTCATCGCCATCGTCAGCTATCCTTATGGGAGTTTCCGCCCTAATATAGTACCCTAAAGAGTAGGATCCTTATTGTAAGGACCCCAAAACAAAGTGCCCCCTTAGTGTCGCAAACTCTATAAACACTTATGGTACCCCTTTAAAGGACCCCAAAATACGGCACCTCCTACAGTAGACGCCAAAAAATGGAAACCCAATAGCCTCAATCCTTGAGAGTAATGTAGAGGGAATCCCAGCGCTATTTGGCTTCAATCTTTATAGGGTTTACTGTAATTTTCGGAAACTCCCATATTTTCATCCACAGCGCCCCATGGGCCGAAGACTTGAGCATTTTCTGGGCTCAGAGCTCTTCCGGGCCTTGCAGTAAAAGCCAGAAAGTTGGAATATGATTATCCTAAACCCTTTATGGGAAATTATAAGGTATCCTACCCTAAAACCATATTGCAACTTTCTGGAGCTCCCTTTAGAGGGTCTCTGGGGTCTGGAGTAGATCCCTTAAAGGGACCCTTATAGAACCCTTATAGATCCCCAATATGGCAACTTAGAACTATACCCCCCTTGGAACCATAATAAAAAAAGTATGTTGAAAAAATCTCTTGGGTTTTTACATGAACTAAAATAAAAATAATTCCTCGGAAGACCATGGTTTTCAGGTCTGGAGTGTAGGGAGCTTCCTCACTGGCTCAAAACCCAAGAAAATCATAGTGAAAACTTCCAGAAACGACTTCTTCATAAGAACCCCCCAAGTTGAAAAGTTGAGGTTACAGCCAATCCTAAGGGTCCACGTGCTCATATAGTATATACCTTGGCCTTAATGTATAGTTTCTATATAGGTACTTTTGGGCTCATGTATCTCTATATGGGTACATGGACCCGTAGGGCAATAAGCTTCGGGCCAGGGTTTAGAATGGTTTACGGATCCGAAGAAGCCTCAAAGCCCTGAGTTTGGGAACTTTTCACGAGACCAACCAACGTTGAACAAACAGTAGGCGTTTCAACATTGAGGTCTCCGGTAAATCAGGACCTCTAGCCATGCAATCTAAATGAGGAATTAGAGTTGCACTTACTCCTAACTCCAGATAAGGTACAAAAAAAGCCTTACAGTATTGAGTCCCCTGATACTCCAAGTGGCCGAAAGGGCTGTAACCCGAGACACGTGGCCATGCTGCTGACATTAAATTAGGGCTTCGGGCTAAGGGTTTGGTGTCTGCTCCTTCTACCAGTGTGTGCTTGGAAACTTCTCGCCGAATCATCGATAACACCGCCCTCAAAATACAGGGACAAGACGGTTCCGGAACGGTCAGCAAAAAGAGCACCCTAAACCCATGAAATAAAAACCATACCGCTGTTGAGAAGAGCAGGGGACTTAGGGTTGATAGATGTTAATACTACACATACATGGGCGTACAAGGGGTCCCTACTTCACGGTCTCAGGCCAGAAAATATTTCGGGAAATGGAGCTTCCGAGACTTAGACCAGGCGTCCGGCTTTCAGGTTTCGGATTTAGTGTCTATACAGGTGCAGGATTGGGATTCAAGAGGGTTAGCGTGTAGGATTGCAGTGGCCAAATGTGCAACTATTATATCAAAACAGCTGACCCTTTCCATGGCCTCTTGATTGCCCTTTTGATCACCCTCCTGGGCAGGCGCTGCCTGAGTCAGTTGGACCCAAGCAATTTGGATCAATCAAGTCTTCAAGTGAAAAGTCCCCTGTTGCCAACTCCTATGTCTCTGTCTTCAGACCAAGGACGCTGCATCGGGCAGAACTTCAGCAGCCGGTGGTGCCTGCGCCCCGCTTCGGCTTCCTGGATGTCTCGTGATGATTTGACATGTCACGACGAAAACCTGCCGTGGCCTTGTCACCACTCGGGCCGTCGAGCCACGACTTGGCAACACCGGAGCTCCCGGCGGCTGCATTGACAGCCCCAGCCTTTAGAACTTGAGAGTTACTAAAGCCTTTGAAAAATATTAGTAGGTAAGATCCTCTGAAGCCCAATAAGAGCAAATGTACAATGGCCCAAAGCCCTACCTAGTTCTAGGAAGTCGACTTAGTGACTCAGTGTTTGTAAGCCCCCCAGTCTGACTCGAGGCGGGGATCGGCCTCAGGGATGATATTCTCGGATCCCCAGTATCCAAGGGAACAAAAGGGGCTCTCTGTTTAGGGTTTAGGGTGTTGGGTTTTGGGTTTAGGGTTCAGGGGTTTAGGGTTCAGGTGTTTAGGGTGTAGGGTTTAGGTGTTCTTATGGGGAACCTCCTAAAGACCAGAATGGTGGGAAAAAGGGGTCCGCTCGGAGACTTGCCAAGTATTCGCTCCTTTAGAATTAGGGTTGCAACTTGCCGCCGGGCATCATACTCGCCAACGAGGAGGTCCTTTGTATGAGGTCAGGAAAAACGGTGAAGTAGAGGTTCAGAGGAGATGCCGTAAGCCTGCACCCCCAACCCTACCTGGAGCCCAAAGGTATGTAGAACAGTAATTAGCCTTTCGCAGCTGTTGGTTGCTTACTTTTGGGCGTTGTGATAACCCCTACCTGAATCCTGAGAATGACCTACTAGGATAGCCAGTAACCTAAGAATAAAAAGGCCTCTCTTTTTGGTATTGGGTAACTTTATAAGGAACCTAGGACTACAAAAAGGGAATAAGGGTAATACTGGGCATCCTAGTAAAGTTTAGGGATCCAGGCCCTGCGGTGGTTTCTTGCTGAGATCAGCCGTGCCTAGGATAGCCGTACCCTGAGGGTCCATGTACCCATATAGCATATACTTTGGGCCCAACGTATCTATAAAGGGGGTACGTTAAGGCCAATGTATATGCTATATGAGTACATGGACCCTTAGGGGTAGTGACCGTAGTGTGGGTTCACGCTGAGGTGCCTTCCCAATTCCCAATGATCCCACCTTGAATGGCCCGAAACCTCTCGGTTCAGGGTTCACCTGGACCCTAAGGAACCTACATTTTTAGGGTTCCTGAGTATGATTTCCTTATAGGAGCACTGAAAAATGGCAGGTTATTGGGTTAAGGCAGGGGCATAGGGTTCGGAGCTACGTTCGGAGACTCGCACTTTCCGGGGTAGGGTTCCGTGAAGAAGCTTCAACAATCACCAGCACCGTCAGCGTTTCAGTGGTAGATCGAAGACCCTGAGATGGAACTGTGGCTCAATCAAACCAAGAAAAACGTCACATCCGCAATTCGATGGGAGTTTCCGATATCCGAAAATACGGGACTCTAATATAGCACCCTAATAGTAGGATCCTTATCATACGGACCTCCCCTAATTTTCGATCTTATAACTCTTTCCAATCCGGGGACCTATATGATCCCGAAAACACCACGCCAAAGCTCAAAACTGTCAACATCCTCAACACTCAAAGCTCTGCACGGTGAGCCTTTTTAAATCCGAAGCTCCTTATAACGGCTCACGCTCTCCTTAATCCTGAACCACCTACCGTTTGGGGGCTCCTTACTATGGATTTCCTTATATTCATGTTCTCCTTAACCCTGAATCACCTCCCTGTTTAGGGCTCCTTAATATTATGATTTCCCTTATGTAAGTCCTCAAAAAAGTAGGTTATGCAGGGCTCATGTGCCGGCAAAGTGGCTAGAAGGCCATCTCCGTTCCAATCCACCATGAAAGGGCAGGCGAGACCTCAGAGTGAATCTGGGTTCTTGACAATCTGGGTTCAGGGCTTAATAGAATAGGGTTCCTTTGAAAGGGGTCTATAAGAGCTACTATAAGCGCTCTTATAAGGACTTATGTAGGGGCCTTTATCGAAGATGGGACCCCGAGGGTCCAAAGGACCCAACAAAATAGGTACTCGGTTTTAGGATAGTAGTTATGTAGGTTAGGATTTTGGAGAGTATATAATATGATTATTGGGTACTTGGACCCTTGGGGTCAAGGAAGGTTTTGGGTTTGGCGTTTAAGGATCCCTTGAAGGAATCCTTTAGAAATACCAGGACCCTTTGCTGGGTTTTCGTTAAGGAATAGAATTTAAATTACCATAGTAAGAATCTACAGTAAATAATAGAGTTCCTGTACTATGGTAACTTAAGCTAAACTAGATCCCTTAAAGGAACCCTTATAGATCCCTTAAGGGAGCCCTTATAGATCCCTTAAAGGAACTCTTGCAGATCCCTTAAAGGAACCCTTGTGGATCCCTTAAAGGAACCCTAGAACCCTTGTAGATCCCCCAATATGGCAACTTAAAACCCTTAGCAAGAACCCAGGAATTTGGGGGGGCCTGCAGGTCGTCGGCCTTACTTCGAGGGTCGGGGGACTGACTCGGACCCCGAGGGGATTAGGGTTGAGGCTTCAGGAGTTTCGGAGTTTTGGGGATTAGGGTTTAGGGGTCTGGGGGTTAGGGGTTTAGGGGTTTAGGGTTTACCAGGACCCCCCAATGGCCCTTTAATGGAGCCCTTGTGGTCCATAATAGAGGGTATTTGGTGTAAAAGAATAGAGGGGGGGTCTGGGTCCAGGTAGTAAGCAGGTATCTTATAGAGATATAAGTACACTCAACGAGAACCCATTTGGGGTTACGGCACTTGTAAGTCTGTAAAAACCTTCCAAGAAAACATCACACACAGAATCCCTATATCTAAGTTGCCTGGCTTTCGAGCCTCGCGACCTTAAAGCTTGGAGGGTACTTGGAGGATCATGGGACTTAGTAAGTAGGGTTATAGGGGTCCTTTTTAAGGGATCTCCCGGATTGCTCTGTAGCGAAAACCATCGGATACGGTCATAGAATGTTGAAGAATTCAACATCAAGAGGTCGTCGCCACGAATAAGTCTGCACTCATACAGAATGCTGGATTCCACTCCCGAAGAAATTTCAGAAAACAAACGTAAATCTTCTTTTGTCAAAGGTAAACCCATAAGGAGTCGGCACTCTTGTCCTCTGACAACACATCCAATCGTCTTAGAGATCGGGTCGAGGTATTCAATCTCGAAATACGACGCTGTATATCTGTAATACTCCGCGATCGAGGTCAGCCATCGCGAATCTGGATACTTTTCTTCAACCAGATTGCAGAGGCACTTCGCCAGGATCTCAATCGCTCGCCATGATATGAACTCGGTCGCGGAGCTAAAATGTGTAACTCGCAGGCAAGATGTGCCATCTTGTCGTAGAGATTCAGATAGGGCTTTGTGAACGACTGAATTAGCACCTGTGTTGATCCTTTCCAAGAGCTCATCCATCTGTTCTGATACATGATAACCTTCATAGTATTCAGGAGACTTCAAAAGTAAGCTCCGGAAACGTGATGCAAGATATCGTCCAATCGTCAGGGTTTAGGGTCTACTCGGGGGATCATGGGACTTAGTAAGTAGGGTTATACGTACCTTAATTGGGGTTATATGTACTTATAAGTGTAGTTGCCATACATATAACCCCAACTACTAAGTCCTATGATCCTTTAAGTAGCAAGCTTCAGGCTAGGGTTTTCGGGTCTTGAGTTTAGGTTTAGAGCTTAACTCCTAAACCCAAAACCCTAAACCATTTAGGTATTACGGTTTAAGCGACAATGAACTGCATCCTACTTGTCGGGTAGCATGGGGAACTGAAGGTTAACCTTTTTGGTTATTAAGGGATTTTATAGGAACTTTACTACCCAAAAAAATGTTAAAGGTTACCTACTCTACTACTAGTGCATAGACTGTACAATGCAGTGCCTATCTTTGGCGACCTTATCCTCTCTTATTCCCAGAGGGTCCTAGGAACTGTCGCGGAGGATATCGTAGAAGCCAGAAAGTTGGAACATCATTATCCCCATGCCCTTAAGGTAAAGTATACGGGATCCTATAGCACTAATCCTCCTAAAGCCATGTTCCAACTTTCTGGCTTCTACTACACTTTCCAGAATTATAAATGTGAAAAGCGGAGGATTCCACTCAACTCTCGGTCACAAAGCCCAAGGCAGCCGATCGTAGATAAAAAGCAATGCAGCAGGCAAAGCAAGGATGATCAGAGTTAAAAACCGTAAGGTTGACGCTCAGGTAGAAGACAGGTCCTACAACCCCCAGGCTGTAAGCGGTCTTTTCCTGGGACTCGCTAGGCGGTCCTTGAGCAGTCAAGCTGCGTAGTGAGACAAAGTTGGTCTGATTCCTAACCAGAAGGCAGAAGCACATATACGCATGTCAGTGACAAATCACACCCCCCTCGACGCGAGCTCACGCGTGAGAAGAGCGGAGTTTAGGAGAGTCACATCCACTGATTGTGCACCGAGCCACACCTCTTCCGGTCAGCTAAGCTTGAAGCAATTAAGAACCATTAGATGTGGGTCGGTCTCTGCATCTGGATCATACCTATGTTTCACTTCTGTACAAACGCAGCCTTTTGTGATCGTCAGGCGCATAGCGAGTTGCCAAGTGATCGGTGGCAATCGGATGTTCCATCGGATCTATGCGGGTTTTACATATTAGACTCAATGCGCTCAGAGTGAGAACTCGGCAGCATCGAGTGTCCGTGAAAAGAGAGGGACACACGAGGAAAATACCATGGCTAGCCATTGTACCCCTGTGGGTCTTCTCAGCGCGGCGCAGGCAAGGAAGGCTGAGGAAGTAGCGGAAATTGTATCATAGCCGGGTTTCACCATCAGAATCCGCCTGACCCGAATGACGTGTGGAGCATGGGTCAGAAAGACTCAACCGGATTCACCTTGCAGTGACACAATGCATCGCCACGTAGGTTGACGGTCGTTACCTACGAGTCGTGGGGCTACGGGTACGGTCCTTGTTTCCTCGTCCGGAACCGCCCCTTCCTTTGTTTCCCTTATCACCCTTCCCTCGGCCTTTCTCCTGCTTTCCTTTTCCTTTCTCGGTTTTCCCTCTTCCTTTGCCCTTCGTCGGTTGCCTCGTGTCATCAGCTTCATCGATGAGGCCTGTCACGTTTGAGCCAGTTCGGGATTTGCCCTTTGCCGTTGTTTCCTTGGCCGGGCCCATCGTGCGAGATCGTGGCTCAGTCGAAGCGGAATCGGATGGAGCTGGAGGCGCGGGATCCGCAGTCTCAGCAACACGCTGTTGTGTACGCCCTCGCGCCTCTGCACTGGTACTTGGGGAGCCCCTGCACTTGGTTGGACATATAAGTTCACAGCAAGTAGGTTGTATGCTACATGTAAGTATACACTAAGTCCAATCTGGACTTATAAGTGCATGGGAAAACGTGGTTAGATATAAGTAGGTAGCAGGACTTATAAGTACTTAGACCATGCCGAAGACGAAGATGGTTTGACTTAGCCTGACTTAGGTTTTTAAGGAAATCAGGATAGAAAATCTTTCATATACATAAAAAAACAATTTTTGCAGGAAAATAATGAGTGAAAGAGTTTTATAGAAATAACCTACATTCCGTGGATGTATTGGCTCAATCCAGCCGGACTTTTGGCCCTGCTGTGGTGATGGCAGCTGTTCTGAAGCAGGTGCAAGGGGCACAGAGCTTTTTGAAGCAAGTGGCGGCCTTGCCGAGTGCGCCGAACTTGCGTCGGCAACAGCATGCAACCTTGCTTGCGCTGCTGGCCAAGGGATTGTCTTGTGTCCCGGGGCTCCCAGAAGTGAGCCGTGAGGTTTTGGGCGTTTATTCGAAATGGATTTATGGGCACTGAGATAATTGAAGGTTCCTGCTATGCTAGACACGAAATCTACCAAGGCTCCTTCTCGGACTGCATAGCCCTGACGTTTCAGAATTTTAAAAACGGTAAAAGCGCTACAACTCGGACATGCAGGCGGGATCTTAGCTGTACTTTGCGAGTAAAACGCTATGCAGGTGGCAAGTTGGAGAAATTATTGGGGTAGGGGAAACGACAAGGAAGAGGCTTGCTCCAAGCATCAGAAACAGTGAAGCTCTCATTCTTTTCCTCGAACACGTATGAGTGACAGTTTGTCTCACGCCAATACAGCAGCCCACAGACCCCATTCATGTGTGCTGCAGCTTCGGCGGAAAAGTATCGTCTGCTTGTTGATTCGATGGCCTTTTGTGGAGAAAGGGCGTGGGGCGACTTTAAACATCTATTCAAACAGTAGTTTGATGAAGAGTGAGGGCCAACAAAACAAACAAGCCTAAGCAGCAAACAAAGACTTCGCAGCTTTCTGCGCTTCGGCAGCAGCTGTTGCAGCAGACTTCCGCTTCGTGCCCTTAGCTGCTGACTCCTTGGGGCCTGCAGCTACTTTGGACGGTTTACCCTTCTTGCTGCTCGCAGCAGCAAGTACTTCTTGCAAGATTTTGTCAGCGTCTTTCCGCTGTTCATCATTCAAGAACCGCCTAAAAGTAACGAAGGGTTCCAAAAGGGCCAAAGTGAGGTCTTTAGCACTCTTACCAGCGACATCTTTCCACAGGGCTTGCACAGCATCCTGCCCCGTCAAGACAGGTTCTGTCAATCCTGCGGTGCTCAACACCCCGCTGTCATCGTACACAAGCTTCCCACCGGTGTAGACAGCAAAGTACTGCGTGCCGGAGAAAACTTTCTTGAGAAAATCTGTGCTGTCTGGGTCGATGCACGCTGGCAAACCTTTCTGGATAGCACACAGCATGCTGTGCGCGGCACTGATGCTTCCTTGGCAGCTGGAGCCCATGCATTGCAGCATCGAACTCTCCACCATGGACCGGCTGTTGTTGACAGCGGCGTCCACTGAGAGTAGGTTCTTGGCAGAAGGCACAGACTTCTTGAGGTAGAGATCCTCGACTTTCTTGCGACCACTCTCACCGCACATGCCGTTGATGAATGCCAGGTCGATGGCTGCATAGGAATCCAGAGCCAAAAACTTGTCACGGTGGACTTTCAAGGTCTCCTCGCTTGAAGAGCAGTCGGCAAGGATTTACAGTAGTGCAGTGTATGGGTTCTTAAAGGGTAGGGTTGTGCTTTCAGTTGAAGCAGATTCTTCGTGGTCGAAGTCTCCTATCGAATACTTGCACAATTAATCGGCTACCACAAAAAAATCCTAGGCATGTCATAAGGATCCCGTTCGTATCCTGCATGCCCTCGCCAGTCTTCTCATCTCCGGCGTTCACGAGCGCAGACATGAGCTCCCGCACGGCCCTGGGCTTTGTCAGGAGCTCGTCAGAGACCGCTGCCTGCTTTGAGCCGTCACCGGTTGGGCATAGCCATTCTTCTGCGGGCAACCAAGGGATGGACTTCGCTGCCGCCGCGGCTCCCCTCAAAGCAGACATCAAAGCCCAGTCAAGCTGCTCTGCCACGCAGGAGACCTTCAACACTATTGGCCAACCTCGATACTGCACAGTCACTTCTCTGCGATCCGGCAGGTCGTCGACGCTGACCAAGCTCTTGAGCTGCTCCAAGCCGGCTGTCTTCACCTTTTGTAGGGCGTCAGGGCTGATGGCCGAGAGTGCCAGCAAGTCTTTACAGCTGGCTTCGATTGCATCCTGCACGGACTCCTCAACGACTTTCAGTGCTGCGAAGGTGAAGAGGCGCTTGCCGAGCATGGAAGACTGTGTCACCGCACGCAACTCTTTGGCAACACTGTTCCACGACTCGTCTTCCCCCAAACTCAGCAAAGTACGAGTTTGGGACACTGGGAGCACCAATGGCCACACATCGCTGTGACTGTTAAGCCAGTGCGCTGGTCCGAAACCTGCTTTGGCGACGCTCAGGAAGGCCTCAAGCACAGGGATATCTAAATGGTCACAACAACCCACTGCTGTGTTTCAGCCAAGCCAGGATTCTGGTTTTACTTCCAACATTTTTAAAAACCAACTCCAGCAGGCGAATCGCTACAACCAGCACTCCGAATCTGTGTCCTCAACATCTTCTAGTGTGACGTGCTGAGCCTTCTATGATACAGAACCGCCCCTGAAACACATTTACCATTTAGCATTCCGAAAGATTTCCTAAGCCTAAAACCTCAAAAAACTTCCAGCTAGATGTGATGCCCTAAGCATTGCGAAATGGGTTGCTGCCACTGTGCATCACCCGTTTTGTCACAACAGTTGCATAGCGACGAAGCCTTCACAAATTAGAGTGGTTTTGACAACCCGAATGCTTCAAACGTTCTTGTTACTGACTGGCCTCCAACAGGATCTCGTCCCACTTGGACTTCACCAAGGAAGCTTCGTGCGGAAACTTCTCCTGGAGCTTCAAGCGGGAAACCGTCTCCAAGACGGCCAAGCCACTCTTCAGCTGGTCATTGCTGGCTGATGGATGAAGGGACATCATCCAGCGCAGAACCCCCACGAACTCTGCTTGGTTGAAAGCTGTTGCGACCTTCAAGAACTGGACAAGCAGGGACCTGTTAGGCGGGTGCTTCAAAGCTGCAGTGGCAGCTTCCACTAGCTCCGGCCTGACTGCAAGGGAAGGGTCAGGGCGCAAGAGCACTTCAACTTTGCTGCCGTCAGCGTAAAGGTCACGCAAGGTCTGATAGTAGCACTTTCCAAATGCCACGGAACCAGGTTGATCTAGCTGCTGCTGCTTATCACGCATCAAGCGCTGGCGTAGGGTGAGCCCTTCCCTCACTGTCCCATCTATCTCAACAGCTGACATAGTCTTGAAATTGTCAGCTAAACTCTTGCGCACCTGCGCTTCCGCGCTGTTGCTTCTCTTTGGCCGCGACACCTTCACTTTCGACCCTGAAGCGAGCTGCCACTCTTGAGCCAGCTTCTTGCCGGCCGCTTTCTTCGGGGTTTCCATGGCCGCCACCGCTACAGCCACGAGCTACACTGTTTCAGGGCCTGCTTTGAGCACTTCTGAACCCTCACTCGGCGGAAGCACGGCCACAGGTGTTTGCATGCATGCCCTGGCACGAGTTTGGGATGTGACTGAGAAGTCGAGTTCGCCAGCAGCTTCTGAAACAGAGCACCGCCACGTGCAATGGCCTGCATGCTAGCAATGCCGGGCTTTAAGGCCCAGCAGATTTCTCAGAATGTGTCTGTGAAGTCTTTTGTCTACAAATCGCGGCATAATATATAAGGTTAAAATAGGGATGTTATACTATATTGCTAGCTCAATCAAGAACCCTAGAAGATTTTGCTCTCGCAGGAGAGCTTGCCCACCCTCCACAGCCGCCTTCCTCCTCTTCAGTGACGCTGTCAGCCAGGATCCGCGGAGCAGGAAACTCCCGACCCCTCTCGCCGCCCTGCGGGTACGCGAGCTGAGACCCTGCCCAGGGACCGCGGGGCAGGAAACCCCCGCCCCCTCTCTTCCACTCTACGCAGAAGAGCTGGCTCGCCACTCATATTTTGGAGGTATGTTTGCGGCCACCGAACAAGCCTCGCCCAGAGGTCTCGTGAACAATGCCGTGGAAATCGCGTGGATTTTTTTATAAGAGGTTACAATCTTCGAAAAATTTCATGAAAACTTCATGCAAAACTTCATACAAAACTTCGAAACGAACTTCGCAGAAAACTTCACACGAAACTTCGCTGTAAACTTCGTACCAAACTTCACACAACACTTCGCAACAAACTTCGCAGAAAACTTCACTTTCAAAAACCCGCCAACAATGTAGGCTAACACAGCACCAAGCAAGCTCGGAATGTGGATTGCTTTCTCTCCGCGCAAGATGAGATTCAGGCGCATGCTTCAATCTTCAAGATGGCACGTGCACGGGCCAAGCTCTTGCCTTCCAGCGTTTGCATTCTGGCTTCCATGTCTGCAGGAAGCACGTACTTGGACAGATCTTGCTGTGAGATTCCCTTCTTTGCTTTGCCTGTCTCTTCCCAAGCTGCGCACAGGAAAGACATGCGGTGAATCCAGAGTTTTGAGAGAAAGCTCCCTCCCTCTTCCCCGTAGACAGACCGCTCGAAGCTCGCGCTCTTTGTCAGCTTGAAAGCAGCGCATAGTGCGGCCGCTGTTGTGCCGTGTTTTGCATCAACTCTCACACCATAAATTGTGCGGCCAGTCCGCTCCACTTGCCATTGCCCGCCTAAAAGGCTTGTTCTGAACATCTCGCTGTGTGCTGCAACATCTCCTCGGAGCGCGCAGCGCTGGTTTTCCAGTGCACTAAACAACTCGTCGTAGTCGTCATCTTGTCCACCAGCACCTTCCGAGGCATCATCCTCTGAAGCTTTGTCACCCAAACTGTCGTCAGCAGCATCATCAGGAAGCTCTTCCCGATCGCTCTGTTCCTGCGATTCTTTCACCGCAGTCACAGCAGCCAGCCAGGGATGCTTTTCAACAAGGCTAGGCTCAGCAGCACGGCGTCTCGCAGTAGCCGGGGGCAGAAGCTCCGGCTCACGGGCTTGCTCCGGCGCCAAGGCTTTCAACAGAGGTTGCAAAGGCTGCAAAACGTCGTGAGACAGCAAGCGCCCGTCTGCTGCAAACCAACTGCGCATGACGACACTGACTCTGCTGGGGTCTGTGTCCTCCAAGACAGCTCCGGACAAAAACTGTCCTGTGCGAAGCCTCCACTGCCAGAGGTGAGCCGAAGACCATTGCTCTGCCCACCCTTTGCCGACACTGGCCGACTTGTGCTCAACAGTCTCTACATCCAAGTCTTGGAAAAACACTGCAAAGGGATTCTGGGATGCGAAAAGAAAACGCATCCAGCGGTCGTCTCCTTCCTGAGTCAAACAAAAAACTGCTTCACGGAAACTATCACGCATCTGGCATAGTTGCTTTGCTATGACGGGAAGACCTTTCAGATTCCGCGGAGGCAACTGCGAAGCCGTTTCCAGCTTGGCCATCTCTGCTGACGGCAGCGGCTTCGGGCAATCCAAGCATCGTTCCCGCAGTTTTTGCAACTGTTTGCCCTTGAAGCTTCCTTCCTGCAGCAGACTGCCAAGTCTCTGCAGGGAGGGCCGATCCAATGCACAGCACGAAATGAGCATTGAACCCTGCGGATCCTTGCGCTTTCCTGCCTCTGCACGCAGACTGGCAAGCTCCTGGCGCAGTGACGCCAAGTCCTCACCGCGACGCTGCTGCTTGGACGCTCGCTCTGCCTCAGCCTCCTGCTCGTAGGCTCTTTTCGCATCTGCAGTGAGTTTCTCCCAGTGAGCTCCGTGCTGCTTCATGATGCGTGGCCGCTTGTAGCGCGAAGCCACACCCAGAGAAGTCTCGAGCTTCGAAGCTTTCTGCATGATGTATCTCAAAAAGACTTGCCGCCCTGTGATGTAGTTGGGGTTTGCTTTGAGGGTCTTCACAAGTTGGGACACCAGTGCGGCTCTCTTGCGGTCTTCTTCAGACATTCCAGGCAGCATTTGGGCAAAGGTGTGGCAAAAAGCACGTGCCATCAGCATGTTGTCGCCAAGCTCGGGGTGATGTCTCCGGACACGACTTGTGGAGGCGTGCTGCTTCTCCGTAAAAGCAGACGTCCAAGAGCATTCCCCTAACAACCGCACAGCCTCTGTCAAGCGGTGACGGTTGTACCCAGCTTGTCCAAGCAGATACAACTTCTCCGATACGGGCTCGATTGGGCATTCTTCGCGACTCAACAAGTCCTGTAGGTTCTGCGCAATGTCCCCTGCGCACAACGACCAGGGAAGTGACGTAGCAACTGCGAGCACACGCCACTCCAGAAAAGCCCATGAAACCAAAGCACCCTGGATGACGGCACTGCGGAGTGCTTCGGGCCGGGCATTGGTTGCCTGGCTCAGGTATTCCCAAACAGCTGGCGGCAGGTTGTCCAAAAAACTAAGCTCTTCAAGAAGCACTTCCTGTAAAGCCTCTTGCGTTTTCGCCACGCGGGCATCTTTGAGCACATGCAGCAAAAACGCTTCGGGCAGAAAAGCTGCCATGCCCACAGCCATCACGAATTGTCGCTCGGCAGCACCTATGCGCCGGCAGCCATTCCATTCATACTCACCCAAAATGCCCTTTTCATGCATATACTGCAACAAGCTCATGTAGCCCAAGAGCAAGCCACTTGCAAGGGCCCTGCACGAAGAGCCGATGGTGCACCACCTGGATTCAGTAAAACGCTGAAAACGCCAGGCTCCCAGCAGAGCACAAGAGACCTGCTCCAGCCAATCTGCTTGCGACTGTGCCTCTTGGCTGATGAGCAATCTGTCATCTTGCCACAGCACACGAAAGTTGGCCAGAACCCTTGCGGTGTCCGAGTCGACACCCAAAGCTGTCCAGAGCAATAGCATCGCATCGGCATCAGGAAGAAGAGGCTCCGGCCTACTCTCCAACTTCTCCACAAGCCACGTGCCCAAGATGTCGATGGCATTGAAGTAGGCCGCGCGGCAAGCAGCAATGCCTATGTAGACAGACTCCAAAAGCAGCTTGTCGTTGAAAAGCGCTTGGTGGGCCCACTTCAGGGAGTTGTGAGCATCATGAGCACAGCAGCCTACGTGGGTGTGCAGCTCACCCAATAGATCGGTTAAGGCAAATTCCTGCCTAATAGGCAATAGTTAATTTCCTAACTAATAGTTAGAAAAAATATTGACTAATTAGTTAATTTAGAATTAACTATTAGTTAATTTAGGCTTGTTTTTCCTTAACTATTTTTAGTTAATTTGCTATAAAAAGCATGTTTGTTCAATGAAAATAACAGCTGTCGTATTGGAGATGCCGTGCAAAAGTGTAGACGTTTTCATGGTTACTGTATCGATTTTGGTAACAAAATAGAGCGGGCGAGCAGGTTGTTCGCTACAGAGGAGAAGTATCCAGTCGCTGTAGGAAGGGGGGGGGCAGGACGGACAAGAAAAAAGGCGCATGCGGAGAGGCTGCAGGCTATTCCGCTGCATGTTTACTGTGTTGTTTCCCAAGAGGTTTGCAGGGTTAGAAAAGTTCGCATGGTTACTGTGTTTGAGGTGTTGCATGATTATTTTCCCAAGGTTATGTGTTCGCATGGTTACTGTGTTTGCGGAACTGCATGATTATTTTCCCACAAGGTCGTGCTCGCATGGTTACTTTATGTGCAGAACTGCATGATTATTTTGGCAAGGTTGTGTGTTCGCATGGTTACTTTATGTGATGAGCTGCATGATTATTTTCGCAAGGTTATGTGTTCTCATGGCTATTTTTTGTGAGGAGCTGCATGATTATTTACTGGTTACTTGTTCGCATGGTTACTGTTTTGGACAAGCTGCATGATTATTTTTGCTCAGTTCAGGACTCACATGGTTCGTGTTGGGCAGACGTTTGACTTGTGCCAGCTTCAGTGAAAGCCGAACTCGCGACTTCTCCGGGCAGCCCGTTGAAGGCCCAAACGGGGAACAGGCAGTTCCAGGTGAGACCCAGAAGCTCCAAACAGCCAAGCGCCTGTGCAAACAAAACTCTGCAGCAGAGGGTTTAGGGTTGCCAAAACCACAGACACAAAACAGACGTCTAGCTGAGCTTTTCTGCTCCCTCCGTGCCCACAGAGCAATATGCCGTCTGGCCAGCGGCTCACACCTGACCCTGCGGTGACCGTGGGCGACCTGATGAAGGCCTTCGAGACTACTTTCAGGGAGCTGGGGTCCCGAGACCTGTCGGGTTTGCTTCGTCTGGACCGTTTCGCCTCTAACACCACTTGGAAAACGACGGCACCCCTCGATGCCTTGTGCGAGCCTGGTGCTGCGAACTTGATGCAAGGCCTGTTCCGAGTGTGCAGCAATGGTGTGATTCAGTCGACGAAACTGAAAGCATGCCTGAACAAGCTGCAGACGGAGCATGGTCGGATCAACTTTTCGAAAAAGTCCGACTATGACTTCGTGGACGTCGCCGACCAGTACGTCCGGCAGCTCTGTGCAAACTGGAGAAACTTG